TGTCACGTAAACAGAACGTGGCAATTCGTTACGAGTACAGCAAACCGGTGTGTTGGAGATGAACTCCACAACATTGAGGGCGTTTCGCCAGTAATTACAACCGGTATCATCAGGCATCAGACGAGGTTTGTGGATTTGTGCAAACTCTGGTTTACACTTGCACAGTTGCTGTGTTAGCAAGCACCCATTCAGGTCAGTGCCAGTGCGTGAGGTGGTGGCGTGACCAGGACCGTACCCGGCCACCTTTGTATCCCCGGTGCGGACGTTCACACGTACAGCACATCGCGTAGCCGTGTGAATGCCAAGTGGAACCCAAGCGAGGCCCCGAGACGAGATCAGATAGCGCCCGCCAAACTGGCGTCCGTGAACGGACCAATCTCAGGTTCACGGACAATGGTACCAAAGAAGTTCAACGTGCGTACACACACATATATATGCACACGAATATACATATATACGAATATACATACAACGGGCTTGGAATCGAACCGAGGTCGCCAAGGTCAGAGCACAGTGACGAATGAACGGCCCGCTGCGCCGCCACTCCCCAGCCCGCCGTGACACGCGGACGCTCGCAGACGCTCGCACGTCTCTCTCCTCTTCGGGGGGTGAGGGTTGGGGTTACTTTGACATGGGTGAGAAACAACAATTAAAGCATTACCAGACACCCGCGCTCGCTCCCCCCCCCCCCCCCGCGTGCTCCCTCCCCCTCGCCATCCTCGCTCGCGCTCCCAATCGATGTCCCATAATGAAATTTTTGAGAATGAGCTTAGTTTCCATGGAAACCTGGGCAAAGTGAGGTCATTTATTGCGGGGTGGACTCATTTATTCATTACGCGCCGCGCACATCGCTGACACACACGCCATGACACTGACACACACACACACCATGACACTGACACACACACACCATGAGACACACACACCTTGACACACACCATAACATTGACACACACCATGACGCACACACCATGTCAAACACACACACACCATGACGCACACACCATGTCAAACACACACACCATGACACACACACACACCATGACACACACACCATGACACTGACACACACCATGACACACACACACACCATGACACACACACACACACACCATGACACACACACAGCATGACAAACACACACACACACACCATGACACTGACACACACCATGACACTGAGACACACCATGACACACACACCATGACACACACACACACACCATGACACACACACACACCATGACACTGACACACACACACCATGACACACACACACACACCACTAAGTGGCGATGACGTCACCACGACGCTTGTGCCAGGCCATGTGCACCTTGAGGCCACGTGAAGTGTCGAACGCCCGCGGGCAGGAGGTCACGGGGCAGACCCAGGTGCCACGGGTCAAATGACTGAGATGACTGGCTGATGCACCACTTGTGTCCCCTACTGTGCCAACCTGCTGTGCTTTAGCCACCCAGCGCTCCGCTCGTTGTTGTGAGCGTCGCTCCCCCGCCCTCCGTTGTTGTTGGAGGGCGACTGTCTCCAACTGCCCAGTAGCGTCCTTCACGAGCCTCCTCCACAGAGGCCGATCTTGACACCGCTGGTACCGGTCATCGGCAAGTCCACTCAGCTCCACGTCCTCCTGTACCACATCACTCCATCTCTTCTCTAGCCCGTGCCGCACCCGTTTAGCCCCCTCGATCCGGCCGAACAAAAGCTGTTTCGGCATGCGGTGGCTGGGCATGCGGGCTACATGACCCAGCCAACGTAGCCTTGCCTGCTGGAGGAGCTCACCGATGGGACCTTGCCCAGATCTCTCAAGGATTTGTGAGCTCCTCACACAATCCAGTCCACGTTTCACAAGCGTAGAGAAGGGAGGGAATTACCGTGGCCGAGAAGACCTGAAGCTTAGTGTGGAGCGACAGACCAGGTAGCTTCCACACAGCGTTACGCAACCGATGAAAACATATTGCCACTCGACTGATTCGGAGTGAGACCTCTGCTGCTAAACTGGAGCCAGTCATAAGCACACTGCCCAGGTATGGGAAACTCTCCACTCTCTCCACAACTGCCCCATCACCGATTGGGAGTTGTGGGGGTGGAGTGTCCGATGGTACAAAATACCCAGGCAGGTGCTTAGTTTTGGTGGGGCTGATGGTAAGGCCCCATCTCTTAGTAGCACGCTCCAGTCTCAGCAGCAGCGTCTCCAACTCCTCCTCTGAATGAGCAGCTATTACCAAATCATCGGCATACATAACGTGGTTGAGGAACAGGGAGCCATCCCTTGACCGCACCCGGGCATCGATCAGCCTCCCATTATATCTGTACCAAATGGAGATTCCCCCAGTACAACTATTGAAGGCTTCACGAACAACGTGGTCAAAATAGATGTTAAATAATGTGGGAGCCAGAGGACATCCCTGTCGCACCCCAAGGTGTACAGGGAATGGCTCTGACTCCCGGCCAAGTAGTTTTACCTGGACCCGCTCACCATCATGAAGGTCCTTAATGATCGTGAGCAGAGGGTCAGGGACTCCAAAAGCATGAAGAACAACCCAGAGCCCAGGCCTACTGATGGTATCATTGGCCTTGACCAGGTCAATAAAGCAGAGATGTAATTCCCTACACCTCTGCTGTAGCAGACGGGCAGAAAATATGGCATCTGTGCAGGACCTCCCTTTCCTGAAACCGCACTGGGGCTCCGCAAGCCTCTCCTCAGCGTGCCTGGCAAGGCGATGTTGAATAATCCTTGCCAGGACCTTTCCCAGCACACTGAGGAGTGAGATGCCCCTTTAGTTGTTACAGTCTGTGCGGTCCCCCTTCTTAAAGAGGGGGACCACCAGGGCATCCTTCAAATCCTGCGGAACCCGTCCAGTGGTCCAGACTGTTGTTATGATGTCATATAGGGCAGTCTGTGCACAAACGCCACCCTCCCTCAGCATTTCGCTTGGGAGATCATCTCTACCCGGTGCCAGCATCATGACCAACTCGCGCATTGAAGTCACCCAACAAGATGACTATCCCGAGGGGCCACTTTAGCCAGCACCTGTGACAGGAGGTCATAGAAGGCATCTGACTCATCGGCTTTGCCTGCATCCCTCATACGGATGTTCGTCTTCGGTGGGGGCATAAGTAACCACGACCACCCCTCCTCGCTTCCGACTGATGGGAAGGTGAGCCCAAAGTAGCCTGGGGCTCACAGCTTCCCACACCTCACCGCCACGCTCCCACGCACCCTTCATTCCTTTGTTCAGAAGAAGAGCCACACCCTGTTGTTTGGCAGTCTCCTGCCCCGAGTAGAGGACTGTCCACCCCTCATGGTGGCATGAGCCAGAACCGGTCTACCGGACCTCCCGAATGCCACAGAGATCCAGGCGGTACCGGTCCAGCTCCCGACAGAGGAGTGGCAGCCTCTTCTCCGCAGTGAGCGTTCGAACATTCTACGTGGCTACACGAAGTGGCTTTTCGTTGTTTCTGGAGGAGCCCCGAGGGTAGAGATTCAATCTCCTGGCTCCGCCAATTGGGGTTTGGCCAGGAGACGTCATAGACGCCTGTCCCCCCGGGGCCTCCGGCACAAACTTATTGACACACACACCATGACACTGACACACACACACCATGACACTGACACACACACACCATGACACTGACACATGCCACACACGCGCGCACACACACACCTTAACACACACCCTGAAACTGACATTTACATGCATCCATACTCTTGATACACACCCTGCTAAAAATGTCAAAAACAGAGGTCCCTTGTGTAGCCTAAACAGGCGGTTGGGGCAAGTGCTGTTAGCGAGCACCTATGAAGGCTGGCGCGGCGCACGAGGGGGTGGGTGGCCAGCACCACGCCCAGCTGCTTTTATCTCCCCAGTGTTGATGTTTACACATCGTACCAGGTATTTATTTAAGGTTGAGTCGACCTAGGGGAGGCCCAGGACAGGTTCAGATATTCGCAACTATGATTGGTTGTGAGCAGAAATTGTGGGGTCGCTGTGTTTGTAGCGCAGCACGCGAACCACTTAGCCACCGCTTCCCCTGCCTGACATACCCTGATACACTGGCGTACACACATTTACTGTAACACTGTCTGACACACATCTGACACACGTCCTCACACATGCTGCGACACATGCCTTGACACAGCATGAAATATACGCACACCATGACACCGAATCTGACAGTACCTGACACTGACGCAGATCCTGATAACCATACACCATAACACACACACACACACGTTGACACATCAACACACCCACGCAGACCAGCCTCCTTTGCTTTCCAAGTTGAGTTTATCTCGGTTACACTGAGGAACTCACAGACCCTGGAAAGAGCTGGGAAAGGTTAATTTGGTTCCATTCGTGGGTGCGCACGCTCAGAGCCTTCCCTTTTTTTCTCTACCGATGACCAACTTCCTCTAGCTACAAAACAAATATGCTCACTGTTTCCGTTCAGCGTCTTAACATGTGGTCACATTCACAACCCATTTTATTATTGTAATTGTATTGCATTGCCTGCACCTTGCCCACCTCTCGTATGCTTCCTGTCACTGAGCTTTCACCACTACACGCGCCCCACCTGGCTCTTTATACTGCGGTTGGCACATGTCCAGATTTTCCCAGGATTGAGGTATCAGTCCCAGGAAATCTGGAGGTCTTCCCAGGGGTATTGAATGCCCCATTTTTTTGGCATATGTGTTTATATTCCACCACTCAATTCAGTTCTCCCCTATTTTGGTATCGTGTGACATTCTTCTACTTTCCCATGTTATGCTCAGATTTTTCGCACCTCAAGGGTGACACAACCCTGGTCTTTGCCCCTATGAACCCTTGTCATTGAAACTTTACCACTCCACCCAACAGTGCTTGGATCTGTCCCCTGGTGCCCTCTCAACCTCCGAGGCTTCACAACTTCCACGTTGCGCAATGGAGTGACTCTAGCCTGGCACGAGCACTTTTTTGACACTGCTGTGTGCGTGTGTGCGTGCAGGAGGGGAGAGAGTGCGTTCATGATGGCCTCTCGCAGAAAGGGAGGCCTGAAACTCAATGCCATCTGCGCCAAGCTTCACGCCCGGCCCGGCCACACACAGTGAGTGTTATTTAGCCCTTGGAATTGGCCTTGACCAAATTAAACTTGAAGCGGTGTTTACTGTACTAATAGAGTCCTTGAAATGAGACGAAGACATTTTAATCATGCTGGGATTCGAACTCAGTACTGAACGATTCGCACATTTCTAAATATTGCATAAGCCGAGACTCAGTCATGAACTCCGATTCTATAAGGGAGTCGATTTTCAGAGGAAAAAGACTAAAATATAGTCTGATATAGGCCATTATGATGAGCCTTCAGAGCTAACTGCAGCATGTCCACAGGTTCTCTTTTTTCCAGGCTCAATCCTCTTTTTGAGGTAGTCCTTCCTCTGGGTAATGTGAGATATTGTTCTTCCTATGACATCCCTTGCTCTTTGTACCTCAGATATTGGTACCTTCGTCACCTGGCAGGAGCGGTGATCGATAGTTTCAGCAAAACTTCTGAATGAAAGTGGTGAATGTTGTTTGTTTTTTTGTTGATGTCATTTCACACATTTCTGTCTCTTTGCCAAGGACCCAAACCTCGTCACAGTCTGCGAGCGAAGATGACGATGGCGACGAAAACAAAATGGCCACTGGAAACAAGATGGCGGAGGGGAGTGGTGACGAGGGAGACGGAAAGATGGCGGATGTGGAGGTACGGTGGATGAGTGTTAACTCGGTGTCTTGCAATAATTTTCTTCGCAGTTGATGAGAGTGGAGTGAAATCTTTTTATTTTTGTGTTGCGCTTTTATTGGGGGTTTGTTAGTATGCCATCGTATATCAACAACAAATAAATGCCATTGCTATCAATGGTGATAGAGCCTTCAGGCAGTAGCAGCCAAGGCCCCTCCATGTCTGTGGAATCACACTCTTCCCCAGAACATTAGGAACTCTCAGTTTAGTTTTTTAGGTCCCATCTGAAAACATGTGTTTTCACTTACGTATCCGTCTGTTTCGGCTATGTGCCTTTTACATTGTGTTTATTATTTTTTGTTTCATTTGTTTAGGGTTTTATCTGTTAAGTATTTGATTCTGCTTTAGTCATTAAGGGCTTTAGTCATTAAGGGCATAAAATATTGGGATATTTTATGTAAAATGCTGCGAGGCCTCGTGTGAATGGCGCTGGATAAAATAGAGGTTTCATTATTGTGCCTTCGCTGATGGACACGCACTCCACTTTGTGGTTTTCATACTTTTCGATAAGCGTTTCACAGTTCTGTTGGCATATACGACAGTTCCTGCTACGCCGCAATAATTTCCTCTTGTCCAGGAAAAAAGCCTTGCTGAGTTTTAGGACTTCTTGTCTGAGTAGGGTCCGGGGGTCGTGACGTTTTGTCCAAATCCCCAGTTGTTTTGCACGGTGGTGGGGAGACAACCAGAGCACCTGGAGAATGCACCACACGCACACTCGGTCAAAGGAACAGCACTCTGCAATCCTTACGTATCCAAGTCAGCTCCCTATTTGCTGCACTGATGCCTACTGTCCACTTTTCTTTTGCTGGCCATGGGAGGGCTTCAGGAGACAGTTTGTGTCATCTTACTTCTCCTCCTCCATTGCAGGAGCAGCGGCTTCTGGTTAACCATCGAACAAAGACGGTCACTTCATCGCGCACTTTCAGATGCGCTTCTGCGGCCGTCTGGAATGCTCTTCCTTATGATATTAGGAAGCCACCGGAATTATGCACTTTTATATCTAAATTGCAAACTCATTTATTTTTGAACTGCTTTTTGCCTTCAATTTGTTGTCCTTCCCCCGCACACCTCCGATTAGCACGGTTGGCTATGTATGGTGCGAAAGAGGTTCAACATACAGACTACAGTGATTCACTGTGTGGTCCATAGTTTGGGTTGCTTGGACACAATTGCACTGCTGTGGTTTGCGTGTTTAATTTTCCACTCATGAGGGAGATGTTCGCATCAGGCCTGTTGATGTTCTGATCCAGTTGGTGGTTACACCAATGCCCACTTTACGGTATCGCTGCAAGAGAGAGTTTGAAAGCAAAGCAGTTACCTCGAACTGTGTAATCCACCACCCTGACCTCCAAAGCTTGGTTCGCCAGCGTCGTACCACCACTGCCAGAGCCATCACTGCCGCCATTACCCAGCGTTCCTTCTGGCGCCACCCCAGTATATGAACCCGTGCCACCCGCTTACTGTACTCAGTGCCACGGTAAGTTTTAAGGGGGACTCGCGGCTTTGTTATAGTTTTGAGGGGGCCACTCTTGTTTTGTACGCAGCATGGACGGGTTGTGCTTTTTTCCGTAGGATTGTATTGTTTACGTACGTGATGTTTAGATTTATGTACAATGAATTTTAGGTGTATCTTGTAATTTTATTATTTGCTGCGGTTGAACCCAAATCAAGAGCCGAATGGCTCACAGGGTAAATCCTAATAAATTGAACTGAAACTGCATGTTAAATTCTTTCCCTGTAGTGATTTACCACCATCCATGCCTGATGCCAAACATTGTTATTCGCCCTGGTTATACGAGTTCTAGATTTAAAATGTGATGATATACGAATTGTAAAGCTAACTCAAAGTTAAAATGAAGAAAGCGTTTAATTGCGGGGAAATAACTGGTCGAAATAAACACTGTAATGCAATGGCTTTGATCACCAAATCATCACGGTCACCACAGTGGTACGACAAGATTACCGCAGTGCTGCGATTTAGCTCAGCAACCATCGTAAAGCAAACTCGGAAGTCTCCGCGTGAACCGGCCTCAGGCTGCGGGCACAGCACCGCCTCGTAGCCACGCAGTTGCGTGTCTTACAGTGCACGGCTGATGATGATGTTCATCAGGTTTTAAAAACTTATTTTTAAGAATGTTTTCAAAAGTAATTTGTGCGAACTAACTTTTCCAACTTGTAATGTAGTTTATTTAATATCGATTATATTCCTGCACCGTCTATTAATATTGTTTTCTTCCTGCAACGCTATTGCTTTGCCCGGGTTTCTATTCGCATCGTTAACCGTGGCCTTTCCGATCGTGGTGGTGACCCCAGGCCGCCACCCTTGCGAGTGAGACCTCCATCCTCGCCGCTCGAGGTCTCGCCCCTGGTGAAACAAAACAAACGATCATCGCGCGGTTCGCCACTCGCCACTCACCCCCTCCCCTTGCCCCGTTGCCGCCGTCAGTGCGCCGAGCGGCGCCGGGAGCTCATCGAGCGCTGGGCCAACGGGGAGCTGGGCCTGGGCGACTCGGGGGGTGGGCAGCAGGGCCCACGCACTGGCGTCGCTGATGAAGACGACGCCGACGATGCGGACGGCGACGACGCTTCCCGCTCCCCGAGGGCGGCCGAGGAAAGGCCTCTCCTGGAAGTGCAGGCCCCAGCCGGTGAGGGAGTTGCGATCGCGCTTGTTCCACAGCGTCAAGTCCCAAGTGTCTCCACCGCTCAAACGAGTGTGGGACAGACTCGGGAATAATAATAATGATAATCAGAATCAGAATCTTTCATCAGAATCTGTATTTAGACTGTAGGGGCTATGAAGCTCTTTTGCACAGGTGCTCTAAATGGTAGGAGGGTGCTGCTCATTGAAAAGTTTGTCCGTTGCCATTGATAATGCTAATCATTCACTTTGGTTGGGATATTTGTGGTGATCTTCTATGTTCGCGGCGATCTCAAGGCTATCGTGAAGCTGCTATGGGCACAGATAAATATAGCCTGCCTGTGCACGTCGATGATGTTCTGTGGTTTCTACCCAATTAAGTAATTTTCGAGTATTTTATTTTACATTTGAACCTCATGGTGGGACCCCGGGGGTCCCGAATAAACGTCAGTCAATGCCGCAATTAATTAATTTTGTTGTCATGTCGTCCAAGCGCAGCAGCGAGGACGAATGCGCAGAAGAAACAAAACTTTTAAACGTTGATTAGCGCATCGCGTAGAGCTCGTCGAGAGGAATAGATCGCCGTGTCGTTCGCCTTCAACAGACATAAAGTGACGTCGCAACGCAGTTCATGCGAGAGCCGGGGGCTTAAGGGACCCCGGGGGTCCTGCCATGAGGTTCATTTGACAAATTGGAGAGTCACACCAGTATTAACCAGGGCGGCCATTTGTTTCAAACCACAAACCTCTGCGATGATCGGCGAACGCACCACTACCCGGCAACATCACCGCCCCTTTAGTCAGTCAGTGGCATGTGGGCAGAAGCCCCATGCATGCCAAGATAAGTAGTGCTCAAAACTATACACACATAGATCCAAGAATCCAATGCTGTCCTTTCATTGACTCGCCACGTTGCGGGTGAAGCCTGAAACACCCGGTGCTCCGAGTCATTCTCCCATCCAAGTACGAATCAGGCTCCAGCCTCTGTTTAGCTTCCAAGATCTGACAAGTTCGGGCTCATTCACGGTTATTTGGCCAGATGACTCATCTCTCCTGTTGAGTAAGTTGTGAATATACCACATTCCTTTGGCAGGGGCCACAATTGCTACGAGGCAACGGTTCACCTATGGAGGGACTGGTCCCTGCCATAGGAGTGTGGAATTTCCACCAGTGGATATGGATGTTGCTCCATTGCTCGTTTGAGTGTGGAGAGACTTTTATATTGACCGTAGTCGTAATAGCTGCTGAGTTTAAGAAGTCTGTCTTTAGCCTTACTGAGGTGTGGCACAGCGATCGTTTATATTGGTGACCCTAAGCCGGTGGTGGAGATTCCACATTCCTGTGAGGGGGAGTCTATCTCTCTTCACAGGACTGCCGCGGTTAGCTTCCCTTAAAAGCATTTCAGTGTTGGCTCGCGATCTTGAAACAGAAACACAGTGCAAAATATCTACGGGACCCTTTTTGCCAGTGTAAAAATGATGAAAAAAAAAGAATAGCCTTTACCCTTTCTGGCAATAAAACCGGTGTTGAGATGTTCAAACGCCAAATAGATGCCTATTGCAAGGCATCAAGTCTGCATTAACCACACATGCTTGTGGCAAGACATGCAAACGAACATGCTCTGATAATATTTGCATTGTCTTTGAAGCTAATTGGCCTACACCAGAGACAGCCTTCTTTGTATGGCCTTGTCTCACCAGTGTTAGACCAGAGAACGCCAAAAGTGCGAAGACACAAACTCTTCATCCACGATATCGCAGCATTGGCTGGAAATTCTAAAACAATTACATTTGAGGAAAAAGGACATTGACATGGCTACGGCAGATGCCTGCACTTTTAGCTTTTCGTCATTTTCGATCGGCGATTTACATTTGTGACATTGAATTCGACCGCGATGTTAGGAAACGATAAAGGGGTCGCGTGGGACGCGGACGCCCATTGCCATGCGAGGAGTGAAGCGCCTTGCGCAAATATTGCCTGGGCAACAAAACTGAAAAAAAACCTCTGAACTCTTTTTAATTTACCATGTAAGGCCCACTTAGCTGTACAGCTCTCTTTCAGAAGCGACCTGGCTATCAGGGAAGATAACTCGACGAAGTGTGGAAATTTATAGCAGCCAAATACTCTAAATGCGTGTTGTTGATTTGAAACGTGGAGGGAAAATACCTGAGGACCCGAAGAAAAATCCACGTGACCACGGGGAGAGAGAACATGCAAAATCCAAATGTACAGGATTCAGGGTTTGGATCGAACCCACGACCGCCTGTGTACCAGGCGAGGCAGTTAACATCTCGCCACCGTAGCATTCCACTTGCGGAGCTGGACACCGCCGGGCTATGTCGTCTTTAAAAACTACGTACGGTGAGAAAGACAAATGAAGAGGATTTGGGGCGGGTTGGGAGGAAGATGCTGGACGGTAGAGAAATTATGGGAGTGGGGGATGCGATGGACAGATTAAAGTGGGGTGATTAATTGGACACGGGAAGATTAAATGGTGAAAAGTGAGCGCTGAAAGAAAGAGGACAAAAAAAATGTGGCGATGTTATGGGCCAAAGACGGCGATGCGGTCCAGGAAGGGACAGAAACGATGTAGACAAGGGAAGGACATGGGGTAACTAATGCTCTGGATGAAAAAGAGTGAAAGGGAAAGACATAGGGAGCGTTAAAAACGGGAGAGGGTAGATGAAGGAGGCAGGGAGAGAGAGAGAGAGATAGAAATGAAGAACGAGGGAGAGTCACAGGCCGAAAGAGAGAGAGAGACATTGAGTGGAGTGAGAGCCTAAGAGAGAGAGAGAGAGAGCGAGAGATGGTCGTGGAGAGCGAAGGAGGGAGAGTTTTATTGTTATTATTTTTGGTCTCTACGGAATGGCTCTGAATTTACGACATAATATAATCTCACGGAATTAATTGTGTGTGCCAAAAAGTGTGTGCGTGCGCAGTGTGCGTGCGCACGGGCGCTGGCTCGATTTTTTTTTCTGTTGGAGCACGCATGCACGTTGCATACGCACGCGCCTGTGCATGGGAGCACGCACGCGCGTGTACGCTTGCACAAACGGGCACATTTGAATGGCGTGCCGTCTACGAGTACGCACGAGCGTGCGTGCGTTGAGTGTTGTACTACAGGTGGGGGAGCGGTGGTGCAGCGGTTAGCGCGCTGCGCTACGAAGCCGGCTACCTGAGTTCGATTCCCAGTCGCGGCCAGCACCAGTGACGAATATCTGAACTTGTGCTGGCTCTCTTCTAGGTTGACTCAGCCTTAAAATGAGTACCTGGTGTAGTGTGTGATGCATCAACATTGGGGAGACAAAGGCGGCCAGGCGTGGTTCTAGACCACCAACCCTCTCGTGTTCCATGCTGTCTTTCATAGGTGCGCGCTAACAGCACTTGCCCTAAAAGTCTGTTAATGGCCGTATAGGGGATCTGCGTCATTGCAGCACTGCACGATGAATGTGAAAATCTTCTGAGAGCGGAAATAGCACTCAAATGTTATTGTCTCACTTCCACAAGTGGTAAACTTGAGGTCTTTGGCCGAAGCAAAAGATGTGTCAAAACCTAAAGCTTGTGTGACAGAGGATTTTATCAGTTCACAAATACGCTGTTTATTTACCTGTGTATGTGAAAAAAATTAACAAACGTGTCATACGAACTTGAGACAACGCACTGATGATGCGCTTGGTTAGTATTTCAATGTGGACACGAGCCACGAAACCACCGTAAAAAAATATCCTAAAAATAAGACTCAAATGTGGCATCAGTGATGGTGGTGGTAATGTTGGTGATGATGTTGGTGGTGGTAATAATGATGGTGGTAGTGGCGATAATGAAGATGGTGGTGGTAATGGTGATGTCAGTGTTGATGATTGTGGTGATAACAGTAGTGATTGAGGTGGTGATGGCGGTGATGATGTTGGTGGTGGTAATGATGATGGTGGTAGTGGCGATAATGAGATGGTGGTGGTAATGGTGATGCCAGTGTTGATGATTGTGGTGATAACAGTAGTGATTGAGGTGGTGATGGCGGTGATGATGTTGGTGGTGGTAATGATGATGGTGGTAGTGGCGATAATGAAGATGGTGGTGGTAATGGTGATGCCAGTGTTGATGATTGTAGTGATAATAGTAGTGATTGAGGTGGTGATGGTGGTGATGATGTTGGTGGTGGTAATGATGATGGTGGTAGTGGCGATAATGAAGATGGTGGTGGTAATGGTGATGCCAGTGTTGATGATTGTGGTGATAACAGTAGTGACTGCGGTGGTGATGGCGGTGATGATGCCTGTGATTTCAGGAGTGAGCGACCTCCTGGGCGCCCTGGGCCTCCTCGATCCAAGGACGCGATGCGAGCTGGAGCGAGCGGCCTCCGTCATCATGTCCTCCTCTTCCTCCCCCTCCTCCCCCTCGCTGGTGATGACCACAACCACGGCCGTGGCAGCGAACCACCAGCACCACCACCACCACCAGCACCCCCACCACCACCTACAGCCGTCGCAGCAGCAGCAGCAGCAGCACCCACATGGCAACGGCAACCCCGCCCACGCTCGCGCCGCCCGCGCCAACGGCCCGCCGCGGGAGCCAGCGCCGGACTTCGGCAAGGCCTATGAGGCGGCGCAGCCCGCCTGCGACACCGCCGAGTCGTCCGACGCCGCCGCCGCCGCGAGGGCCGGGCAGCACGCCCTCCCCCACGCCCGCGCCTCCAAGTACGACTTCTTCATCCGAAAGCTGCGCGCCGGCGAGAGCATTGCCCCCCCGCAGGAGCACGAGCCGGCGCCGGGTACCGCCGCGTCACCGTCCGCGGGCCCTGCCGGCGCCGGCGCCGCCGCCGCCGCCGAGATCTCCGACGGGTTCGGCGTCGCCGAGTCCCGCGCGCCGCAGCTCCCGAAGTTACCGCGGGCCAGCCACGACGGCGCCGGCTGCGTCGGCGGTGGCAGCTCGAGCAACGCCGCGGCGGCCGCCTGCAATCACGTTGCCGCTGGGAGCAACGGCGGCACCGGCGGCGCCCAGACCAACCGGCGAGTCTCCAAGTACGACTTGGAGAACGTCAAGTACCTGCACCTGTTTCGGCCAGGGGAGGAGGGCTCGGGGGGACCCGGCTCACGGGGGGGCTCGACGCCGCTCATGGCCGGGGGCGCCATTGCCTTCAAGACGGGCCGCGTGGGACGGCCCTCCAAGTACGACGTGAAGGGGGCCGACAAGATCTCGCAGATCCGCGCGCTCGCCAACGCCAACTCGGCCGCCATATTGCAGAATCACCACCCGCACCAGCAGCAGCAGCAGCGGCAGGGACAGGGACAGGCGGCACCTCCCCTGCACAGCCCCGGAGCCAGCGGCAAGACCTGCATTGCTCTGTCGCACGGCAGGATGTTAAGCTTTTTCCCGAGCGACTTTGGGGTGAAGAGCGAGGTTGTGGTGAAGGGAGAGCAGCAGCAGCTGCTGACGGGTGGTGGCGGTGGTGGCGGCGGCGGCGTCGTCGGTGGTGGTGGTGGTGGTGGTGGCCACTTGGCGAGCGGGCAGAGGGGAGGACTCGAAGCTGCAGCTGTGGCGGCTGCGTTCCTGCGAGCAGAGTCCATCACGAGCGGCACGGTGTCTTCCGTCAAGTGAGTGTGTTTTCGCGCTTGTCTGTGTGTACTCGCGTCCGTGTCTGTCTGTGTGTGTGTGTGTGAGGTGCGGTCGTGTTAGCGCTTAGTGCGCTGTGCTACGAACCCGGCGACCAGAGTTCGATCTGAACTGGTCCTGGGCCTCCACTACGTCGACTCAGCCTCAAATGAGTATCTGATGCGGTGTGTAAACATCACTGGGGAGACAAAGACGGCCGGGCGTGTTGCTGGCCACCCACCCCCCGGAGTGACGTGCCGAGCTTCATAAGTGCTACTCGGAGCGCTCGCTTCTACAGTCTGTTAAGGCTATATGGAGGATCTTTGTGTGTACGGGGAAGTAGTGGTGTAGTGGTGAGTGCGCTGCGCAATGAAACTGACGATCCTGGTTCACAGCCATCTTTGGTGACAGATATCTGAACCGGAACTGGGCATCTCCTATGTCTACTCAGCCTTAAATGAGTTCCTGGTGCGGTGCGTAAGCCTCATCACCGAGAATGTAAAGGTAGTCCCGGCCACACCGCCCCCTCGTGTGCCGTGCCAGACTTAATAGGTGGCTCGCTGATAGCACGGACCCCAACGGTCATGGCTACGGGGGTGACCTTTCTCTCTGTGTATCGAGAATTGTGGTGGAATCGGTGACCTCGGCAGCATCCAGGTTTCAATTTTTGGTTGTGTGCATCGTCTACGGCTGTTGGTTTCGAATACTGGCCTGGACCACCCATAGGTCAACTCAGCCGAAAATGAGTACCTGGTGTCCCATTTACATGGAACGTTGGGGCTAACATTGGGTCAGGGTTGCTCCGACGGTTTCCACCACTTGCCAACTTTGGCCGAACGCTGGAATATTTGCTTGGGTGGCAAAATTGTGAATGTTATCAGGGGAAATTTTGCTTTAATTGGTAAGCAATTTCTCAATGAAGAAGCAAAAGTTTATCTGCTGACTCCCAATTGCTTTGTTGGCGAGCACAAAAAAGCTTCGCTGCCTCGCTCGACGTTGAAACTCTGCGCATTCTCATCCAAACCTTTACGTGGTTTCCAAGTTGCGAGGTCACCCAACTCATCCGAAAGGGCTACAAACCACCGCCAGTCGCACCGGCCAAATCTATAAATGACAGAGAAGAGAATACCGGTGCGGGCTCGAAAACCCCGTAAAGTTGGAAAAGAGATGCAAAACGGTGTTTATTCGCGTGCGCGCAATGGTCGTGTGATTTTTTATTTATTTGTTCACGCAATTTTTGCATCTTGTTCAACGGTCGTTTGGCTTCCAACGAGAAGGCATTTGTCAACATTTATTTGCCAACAGGAACTGCCACAAAGACTTGATTTACACTTCACAAAAAAAAAATCTGGCATTTACGTATGGTAATCGGAGAGCGGCGCATTGGCAGAGCTTTGGGTCACATGCTTTACTGCCGAACCGGGCCCGCGATGCACGGGTTGGAGCTCCTGCGCGCGCGCACAAAAATAAAACAGAAGCGCGGTCCCTTTAAAAAAAAAAGCATACATTTTGAATGTCCCTAAGGTAATTCCATTTTATAAATTAATTAAAATTTAAATTGGAGAGAAAAAATTATGTTATTGACTAAAACTGTGTGTGCCGTGTGTGCGATTGATTTAGTCTGACGTGTGATTGAATCGATTGCACTGGCCTGCCTTGACCCGAGACAAAATATGACCTCTCTCACTTTCCCTCCCTCGCTCTATCTCCCGCTATCTCCCCGCGCTCTCTCTCCTATCTCCTTGTGCCCTCTACTGAAATGTATATCTTCTCATCCTCCTCCTCCTCTCCTGCCATCCTCTCGCTCTCTTTGTGCCCCGTTGAAACCGTTGTTCATCGACTCTCGTCCGACCGAGCATCTCTCCTTTCAATTATCCCAACATCTCCTCCTCTCTTTCCACCTCTCACCGATGTCCCCACTCCGTCTGTTTTTCCTTCTGTCCCTCTGTCGGTCTATCCATTGGTTTCTGTCTATTCCTCTTCATCTGTCCCATCATTCTGTCTCATCCCTTTCTGTTTCCTTCTCTGCTACTTTCACTTTTTGTCAATGTTTCTCTCCGCTTATCTCTTTTTACTGTCCTGTCCCCTCCACCTGTTTGTCGATCGGGCTGTCTTGCAAATGTTCCTTCATGCCCGCTCACTAAACGCCTGTCTGTGTGTTTGTGTGTGTGTGCGCGCATTGTCGTTTTGTCAGGAACGGCCTGCCAGTGGAGAAAGTTCCAAACGGAGATGAATCAAACATCTACCAGAAATATATTACCAAGTGAGAGCACAAACGCACCCACACACGCACACACAATGCAAGAACACACATGCACAAGCACACACGCACACACCAAGTACACGCACACATGCATCCGCACATACATACACACAAGCACGCCCACACCCGCACATGCTTTATGGAGGAGTAATTTTTTCCATTTTAGCCATGAATATTTAATTTGAGCAATTAAACACAAACAGCCTTGTCTGCAAAAACAACCAGGCACACGTACACACACACACACACAGTTACTTTTCACTGACACACAAAGACAAAGATCCCCTATATGGCCTTAACAGGCTGTTGGGGGCAAGTGCTGTTAGCGAGCACCATTGAAGGCCGACAGAGCACGCGAAGGGGTGGTTTTTGGCCGGCACCACGCTTGGCCACCTTTGTCTCCCCAGTGCTGATGTGTATACACCGCACCAGGTGCTCATTTCAGGCTGAGCCAACAAAGGGGAGGCCCAGGTAAAGTTCAAATATTCGCCATTTGTTTTTGGTCGCGAGCAGAAATCGAACTTGGGGCGACCCAACCGCCACACCATCACTCCCCAGTCGCCATTCGCCATTAAGTGGCGGTGACGTCACTGACAACAGCGTTTGTGGCAGGCTATAGGTGCACTTTGAGGCCCCGGGAAGTGCGGACGGTTCGCTGACAGGAGTTCACGGGGCAGACCTGGGTGCCATGGGTTGAATGAAGGAGATGACTGGCAAATGCACCACACGGACGCACGCACGCTCACTTTTTCACACGCATTGGCACACCTCACGTGCATACACTCGTATCCCCCGCGTGCCTGCACACATACATGTACTTGCGTGTGCGTGTGTGTGTGTTGGTTCATATGGGGAGCGGTGGCGCAGTGGTCAGGGCACTCACCGTCACGTGGGTGTCATTTCCGGCCACGGCTAACATCAGTGGCAAGTGATGAGTACTGCTCGTTGGCGTCCGCTTGGTTGACGCTGCCTTAAATGAGTTCCCTATATCGTGCGAGTACGTGTGCGTTCATATGTGTGTGTGTGTGTATTTGTGCCTGTGTAGGCATGTGTGTGTGCATGTGTAGTGACTGGGAATGTCACTGTGTGGTGCCGGGCCTGCGAGGCCACGGCGGGATGGACACTGTTGTGGGTACACCCCGGAATACACGAGGTGTAGTACCAGCCCTAGTGGGGGCTTCGGTGAGCGCTGGTTAAGCGCGGTGGCACCACGCACAGCGTGCGGTGCGGGCTCCCGTTGAGATAGCGAGTGTCAGACAGCTGGGGTTACGTTGGGGGCATGATACTCTGGCTGACCTGGGGACATGTGACCGGATGATACTGGAGGGGGGCCACCGGGGGAGGGGGCTAATGGGTGGTCACATGGTCCAGGAAGAACTCTCGAGAGCCTTCGGGCAAGGGCGAGAGATGGAGGTGGGCAGGGCGAGAGTTGGAGCCATCTCCAGCCCGGCCTGATATAAGGGGGGGGGGGGGGGGGGCCCGGTGAGGGGCTCGGGGTTCTTACTGTTGGAGAGGCAGGAGATCCACGTCAAGCTTGAAGAAGCCTCCAGCCACACGGTCCGGGACCCAGCTTGTGGTCCGGACCGGGATAGTGAAACCGTGTCTAGTTCTGCCGTAGCGTGGTTAGTTGGGTCGTCATCACCCGAGAGTTTGTTGTGTCAATAGCCTGGAGTGTGTTGTGTTAATAGCCTGGAGTGTGTTGTGTTAATAGCCTGGAGTATGTTGTGTTAATAGCCTGGAGTGTGTTGTGTTAATAGCCTGGAGTATGCTGTGCGAAGAGTTTGCGACTCAGTTGGACTCACTACACGTGTGTGTGCATGTGTGTATGTATGTGTTTATGGGGATTCCCACTCACGGCCAACACCAGTGACGATTATATGAACGTCGACTCAGCCTCAAATGAGTACCTGGTGCGGTGTGTAATAATCAGCACTGGGGAGACAAAGGCGGCCGGGCGTGGTGCTGGTCACCCCACCCCCTCGTGTGCCGTGCTGACCTTCATAGGTGCTCGCTAGCAGCACTTGCCCCCACACTTTGTTAAGGCTATGCGGGGGATTTTTCCTTTGTACGTATTTGTGTGTCCTTGCGTGCATGTGCGTGCACCTGTGTGTGCATGCACGTGTGTGTGCGTGCACCTGTGTGTGCATGCACGTGTGTGTGCACGCACGTGTGTGTGTCATGCACGTGTGTGTGGCATGCACGAGTACACTTTGTGGCCTCAGAGTGTACCTATTTTGGCAAATCACCGCCACTTATTTGTGAATGGCAGCTGTTGTATATGCATATATATGCGCGTGCGCCTGTAGGCGTGTTTGTAGATGTGTACATGCGCCTGTGTGCGTGGGTGTATGTATGCGTGTGGGTGCATGGGTGTATGGATATGTGTGGGTGTGTGCATGTGGGTGTGTGCATGTGGGTGTGTGCATGTGGTGTGTGCTTGTGGTGTGTGCACGCGTGGGTGTGTACGCGTGTGCGTGTGTGGCTGCTTGTGCACACGTGCGCGCGTGTGCTATTGACATGCACATGGTTCCCGTCTGACCTTGCCGGTGTCGTGTGTCCGTTCGCCACAAAAAATGTTGCCACCGTCTCGAATTTCACCGTATCGTTCATTAAAAAAAAATTCTCCCATTTTTTAAATTGTTTTTTTTCTTATATTGTATTCCACCTGACCACGCCATCCTCCTTGCCTGGCCTCCCTCTCCATCATTCCCAATGAAAACCCTCCGTGCCATCCCTCCCTGTCATTTCATCTCCTTTTCTCCCCTCCATCTCTCTCCTGCAATGTTTATCTCTCCACGTCTCTCTCTCTCTCTCTCACCGCTCTCCCTTTGCTCCGTCTCCTCCATGGCGGTTCGCTTGTATGATCACCGTTACTCTCTGTCACTTTTACACACTCCATTCCTGTCCATGTCCCGTCTTTGTCAAAGTAATTTCTGTGGCACTGTGTGTTTCTGTGCCTCTTTTTATCTGCCTGGCACTCTCTCTCTATCTCTCTATGCCTCCCTGTGTTTCACTGTCTCTCGGTCCCTCGGTGTCTCACTCTGTCTTTAACTCTGTGTCTCCCTGTCCATCCCGCGCCCCCCCCCCCCCTGCCCCCCAGGTTCGGGAGCACTCAGCAATGCGGCCATGCCCACTGCGCCTACCAATACAAGGAGCATTACCACTGCATAGACCCCGAGTGCAACTACCAAGTACTGCTCCTCATCAGCACTCGCGCTCACACACTCGTTATCGCGCAACACTAGCTATCACACTCACCGACGCCGACACCGACACATTCACCAACTGTCACTATCACACTCGCTTAGCAACACTCATTACCACAGTCACTCACCAGCATGCTAACAGTCACATGCACCAATCCTGACTATCACACTCACTCACACTCACCAACATTCACATTTACCGACACTCACTATCGCATTCACTCACACTCACCAACACTCACTATCACACTCACCAACACTCACTATCACACTCGCTATCACACTCACCGACACACACACATTCACCAACTGTCACTATCACACTCGCTTAGCAACACTCATTACCACAGTCACTCACCAGCATGCTAACAGTCACATGCACCAATCCTGACTATCACACTCACCAACACTCACCAACATTCACATTTACCGACACTCACTATCGCATTCACTCACACTCGCCAACACTCACTATCACACTCACCAACACTCACTATCACACTCACTCACACTCACCAACACTCACTATCGCACTCACTCACACTCACCAACGCTCACTATCACACACTTACCAGTACAAGGAGCATGACCACCGCATAGACCAAGAGTTGAACTCCGCAACTGTGCCTGCGTGTGTGCATGTAAATGTGTGTGCGCATACACATGCGTGGTTGTGGATGGATGTGTGGTTGGATGTATGTGTTTCTTTGTGTGCTTGTGCATCTGTGTGTATGAGTGCATGTGCATTTGCTTGTGCACGAGTGTGTGCATGTGGTGTGGTACGAATATGCAGCGAGTTGGCACAGCAGGGGGCACAGGTGATGCATCTGCCAGTGATCAAAGTCAGTCAACCCATGGCACCTGGGTCTGTCCCGTGACCTCCTGCCGGGGATCCTTGGACACTTCACGTGGCCTAAAGAGTGCACCTGGCCTGGCACAGGCCCCTTGGTGACATCACCACCACTTAGTGGCGAATGGCGGCTTTGATTTCTGTTGTTGTTGCACTCCAAAACCCGGACGCGTGAGTTCGATTCCCGCTCATGGCCAACACCAGTGAAGAGTATCTGAAGCTTGTCCTGGGCCTCCCTTAGGCTGACTGAGCCTCCAAATGAGCATCTGGTGCAGTGTGTAAAACATCGCCACTCAGGAGACAAAGGTAGCCAGGCGTGGTGCTGGCCACCCATCCCCTCGTGTCCCGTGCCGGCCTTCATAGGTGCTCGCTAGCAGCACTTACCCAAAAAGTCCGTAAGGCTAGACAGTGAATCTTTCATTGTTTTTCTGGGTGTCTCCTTGGTCATGCCTGTCCATGCGAACGTACGCACGCGCGCGTACGTTCGCAACGTGTGGCGTTTGGACGCGTCCTTGCATGTGCGAGTGCACGGTTGTGTGGTTGGTCATGCGTGCGCGTGTGTATGCGTGTGTGCTGGCTGTGTGCTTGGACATGTCTGCGCGTGCGTGCGCGTGCGCGCGTGCGCTCGTGCGTGTGTGTGTGTGCGTGTGCCAGCGCTTCACGAGCAAGCAGGACGTGATCCGTCACTACAACATGCACAAGAAGCGCGACAACAGCCTGCAGCACGGCTTCATGCGCTTCAGCCCGCTCGACGACTGCTCTGCGCACTACAGCAGCTGCCACCTCAATGGGCGCAGCACCCATTACCACTGCATGCAGGTACACAGACACCAGACAAAGATCCTCCACACACCCCCCCGCCGCTCCCGTATGGCCTCTAACAGGCCGTTGGGGCACATAGTGTTAGCGAGTAGCACCTATGAAGGCAGGCACGGCGCACCTGTGATGGGTTGGTATGGCCAGCGCCATACCAACACCGCCTCCATCTCCTCGATGCAGATGTTCATGCATCGCATCGACTGCTCGGGTCCGTTTAGCCTTCTCTCTCTCTCCGGCCAAACAGAAGCTGCTCGTGCATGCAGTGGCTGAGCATGCGGGCCACATGACCCAGCCAACACGCCTCGCCTGCCAGAGGAGCTCACGCACACGTATGCACTATCATTAGCACTGGACAAATGAGATCCTGGTGTCAAGGATATGGGCCCTATAATTGCTGCTCAGCCACTAAATAGCCAAACAGATGTTCTTGCGTGAAGCTGGCATGCACCCAAGTCGCCGTGTGGAAACGCCGGCAAATACACAATATTATCTTCATAATTATAAACTCATTGGCAGCACAGAAATCTAGTCGCCTCTTACCGTTATTGTTGAACCTATCTGGCCCGGGTCATGCAATAACTCTTGCCCAAGTGCTAGCATCATAACCCACTCGGGCAGTAAAGACCCCGAATAAGATGACTCTATCCCAAGAGGCCACTTTATTCAACATCTGGGACAGGAGGTCATAGGAGGCATCTGATTCATCAGCCTTGCATGCGTCCCTCCTCGGATGTTCATCTTTGGTTGGGACCCATCTACTCTCTAGCCTATGTACACACCTGCATACAATTACCTCATCACACACAAAGATCCCCTGTATAGCATTTAAAGGCTGCTGGGGAAAGTTAGCAAGCACCTATGAAGGCTTGCACGGCACACGAGGTGGGTGGTGTATCCAACACCAGGCACGGCCACCTTTGTCTCCCGCGCCGGCTACTCATTTAAGGCTGAGTCGATCTAGGAGGAGGCCCAGCACCAGCTCGGCATATTCCTCTCCGATGTTGGTCGCGAGCGGGATTCGAACTCTGGTCTCTGGGTTTGTAGCACAGCGATGGCCTAACCACGACACGACCGCTCCTCATGCGCATGCTCACACACGCACCCGAAGATGCCTCGTTTTGCCAAAAGAATGTTGGGGCAAGTGCTGCTGGCACCTATGAAGACCGGATTGGTGAACCGAGGGGTGGTGTGACTGGCACAGCCGCCCGGCCGTCTTCACCTCCACAGCGCTAACAACAGTTTGGGATATTCGCCACCGTTATTGGCCGTGAGCGGGAATCGAATTCGGCTCGTCGGCTTCGTAGCGCCAACCACTGCACTACCATTCCCCACCATCTGTGTATGTGCACACACACACGCCTTCTTCGCTGGATGTGCATTCAAGATGATTTACATCTATGTTACGATGCAAGTGTGTGTTGTAGATGTGCTTGGGGAGTGGTGGTGCAGTGGTTCGCGCAAAGTGCTACAAACCAGGCGACCCAAGTTAAATTCCCACACACGACCAACGTCAGTGCCAAATATCTGAACCTGTTTCAGAGCCTCCCCTAGGTTGACTCAGATTATTGAACTCGGGTCGCTGGGTTCATAGCGCAGCGGTGCGCGAACCACTGCACTACCGCGCCACACACAAAAGACAAATATCCCCCGTTTAGCCTGAACGGACTTTTGGGGCAAGTGCTGTTACGAGAATCTATGAAGGCCGATACGGCGCACGAGGGGGTGGACGGCTATCCAGCACCACGGTCAACTGTCCTTCCTCTGCCCAGTGCTGATGTTTTTACACATCGCAACAGGGTATTCATTTCAGGCTGAGTCGACCTAGCGGAGGTCGAACAACAGTTCAGGGTATTCACCACCATTATTGGCCGTGAGAGGAAATCGAACTCGGCTCGCTGGGTTCGTAGCACAGCGGTGTGCTAACCAGGGCACACACACACACCGCTTAAGTGGCGGTGACGTCACCATGGTGCTCGTGCCAGGCTAAGTGCACTTTAAGGCCATGTGAAGTGTCGAACGCCCGCACGCACGCACGCGCACACGTGCGCACCTGCTTGAGCGTCATCCTCGCCGTCGCTGTTGCCGTCGATGCAGGTTGGCTGCACCAAGGTGTACACGAGCACCTCGGACGTGATGACGCATGAGAACTTCCACAAGAAGAACGCGCAGCTCATCAGCGACGGCTTCCAGCGCTACCGCGCCACCGAGGACTGCGGCACGCCCACGTGCACCTTCCACGGGCACAAGACGACGCACTTCCACTGCCGGCACGCGACGCCCTCTCACTTACACCTTGAGCGGCAGCAGCAGTATTTGTAGTCGTAGCAGCAGCAACAGCAGTAGTAGTTTTTGTGTTCGTAGCAGCAGCAACAGCAGTAGTAGTAGTAGTATTTGGAGTAATAGGAGCAGCAGCAACAGCAGTAGTATTTGGAGTAATAGGAGCAGCAGCAACAGCAGTAGTAGCAGCAGGAACAGCAGTAGTGTTTGGAGTAGTAGCAGCAGCAGCAACAGCAGTAGTAGTTTTTGTGTTCGTAGCAGCAGCAACAGCAGTAGTAGTAGTATTTGGAGTAATAGGAGCAGCAGCAACAGCAGTAGTATTTGGAGTAATAGGAGCAGCAGCAACAGCAGTAGTAGCAGCAGGAACAGCAGTAGTGTTTGTAGTAGTAGCAGTAGTGTCAGTAACAGCAATAGTAGCAGCAGCAGTACGATAGCCGCTATCAGCAGCATCAGCTTCACAGCCACAAGGAGCAGCGGCTGAGCGGCTGTGACTAGCAGCAGAATAGTTACGAGCACTTGTTGGGCGCCAGGGGGCGGAACAGCAGTCACACTTGGGCCTCACAGCAAGAAGAGCCTGGGTTTGATTCCCAACGCCTCTGTGTGTGGTGTTTGTATGTTCTCCCCTTGTTATGCATGGGTTTCCTCCAGGTTCTCGAATTTCCTCCCATAGCTAACAAATCACACACAGCGTAACGTGGATTGTCCAAACATCCCAATGCTTGAATACATTACCCACAAACGCCTCGCTTTATTGTCACACGTAGCAACGTCGCCCCCTACTGGAAAAACTTGGCAGGACCCTCCTGAAAAGAAGCCTTTGAGATTCGGTGAGACTTTCCTGGGTAAACAAGCATAATAATAAAACAAAAATGTAATTTAGAGGATTACTGTTGCTGACGACAGCCAGTAGCTTCACGAGCAACAGCAGCAGCAGCTGTGATTGGGCTGCCGTCCGTACACGCGCAGCCTCGTGAGGGTTCGTCACCTCGGAGGATTTCGCCCCATGATGCCTTGCAGTCCCACCTCCGCATTGCTCACCCCGCCGTGTCTTCTATTTCAGATGTATATAGCGCCCATTCCAGGTGACAACTGTGACACACCGGCCAACGTCATCACCGTCGCTACATCTGCCTCTCTGCCATTCCTCTCTCCCGTCTCCTACCCGTCTTCCTGCCCATCTCACTTTTTGTTCGTCCGCCTGTTTCCCTTCTTGTTCTATTTCGCACCTTTTATTCGGTCCTATGCCTCTTTTTAGCCGTACACCCGAACCGAGCCGTGCCGGGCGAGCCTGGCACCCGGCACGGCTCGGTTCGGTTGTACGGCCCCATCGGCGGCAGTTCAGGAAGCGTCGGGCCATTTTTCTCACCGGGAGAGCCGAGCCGTGCCGCTTTACGGTCATGCTCGACGGATGAATCGAGATGCCCGCAGACAACGCAGCGATGCCGTCGTCAGCCCCCCCATCTGCCTGCCCTGTTTGGCCTCAACTGATTCGGGAGTTGTGCGATGCCGGGGTTAATATTCCCTGTCATTTGCCCCCTCCCTCCCTACCTCCCTCCCTGCCGCCTCCATCTGCCCGCGGCGCAGGCGCAGCGGCTGCTACTTCACCTTCAAGAACAAGTGCGACGTGGAGAAGCACAAGTCGTACCACGTGCGCGACGACGCCTATGCCCGTGACGGCTTCAAAAAGTTCTACAAGTACGAGTCGTGCGGCTTCGCGGGCTGTGCATACGCGCGTGCCACCAACCACTTCCACTGCATCCGCTCGGGCTGCGCCTTCACCTTCACCTCCACGAGCCAGATGACGTCGCACAAGCGCAAGCATGAGCGACGCAGCTCCGTGCGCGGCGGCGACCGGCCCGGAGCCCCCGCTGGGACCGGCTGCGTCTCCACCCTCAACCTGGTGCCTTCGCCCCTGGATAGGAAACCGCTTCAGGCTGAACTGGCGCTGGCCGGCAGCAGCACGTTTGCGGCGTTCGCCCCGCCCGGATTCTCCGGCACGGCCCAGTTCCGCTTCGAGGCGCCGGCGAATTTCAGCGCCACCCTCTTCCCGGCCGCGACGGCTGCGTCAAACTTCGGCAAGCAGCCCGGCCTCTCCGACACCTTGCTGCCGGCGACAAATTACGCGGCCGGCTCCCCGTTTCCACTTTCCACCGCAGCGGCGGGGGCGGCGACCACAACGACGACCGCGACCACGACCACGACGACGGCGACCGCGGCCGATTTGACGGCGGCGATGAGCGCGGCCACGGGGCGGTTGACGCCCACGTCCGACACGGAGGCCGGGGCCGGCCCCGCGCGAGCGGCACCCGTCGCCGTGCCCGCGACGCCCGTGTGCGCCATCGACGGGTGCGGAGCGCCAGCCGGCAGCTGCTGCCCACTCGACGGGCACGCGGGCACGTCGGAGGGCGGCTGCCGGGCGTCGGCGAGCGCCTGCTTCGGCCCCGTGGTGGCACTTGTCGGAGCGGGGGGCGGCAATTCCGCTTCGTCGGCCTGTTCGGCTTTACCATCCTCCGTCGCTTCGGCGTCGTCGGCGGCGGCGTTCCACCCGTCGTCGATCATGCTTTTGACGCAGCAACATTTCGGAATGCAGCAGCAGCAGCAGTCGGAAGCGCAGCAGGCTGGTGTGCTGCTGTCTGCGCCGGGTGTGCCCCCGAGGCCCGAGTTGAAGGCTTCGTCCGGTTCCCAGATCCACGGCATCATGCCGGCGATCAGCCTGGGTTTAGGCCTCGGCCTGGGTCTCGGTCCGATCCCGATTGGCGTTCCCTTGCGGCAGATTCCTGTGCAGCTGCTGCAGCTGGCAGCAGCCGCAGCAGCCGCCGGCGTCGGCGGCGCTCACTTCGGCACGCGCCTTGGAGACGCTCGTGGAGACGACGGTGCTGCCTCAAAACCCCTAGGCTCTGCCGGCCACACGGCCGCTGCCACTACCACCACCGCCTTTGGCGGAAGCAACAACGCAGAAGCGGCAGACGACAATGACGACGAAGAAGAGGAGGGGGAGGAGGAAGACAATGACGACGACGATGATGACGAAGACGATGATGACGACGACGATGATGATGACGACGATGACAAGGATGCAGACGATGATGAGGATGATGATGAGGATGATGACAATGACGTGGACGTTGACGACAGTCTAGGTCAAACAAAGTGCAAGGATTCGGAGGCGGAGGGCGGCGGCGATCATGCGGCCATCATCGTGAAGGACGAGGAAGATGAAGACGAGGGGGAGATGGTGGCTGGAGCTGATGGAGAGAAGACGGGGAAGAGGAAGCGTGGAATGCGAAGAGAGCGGCGGCGGCGGCGGCGGCAGCAGCAAGGGCTCGGCGAGCGGAGGAAGCGCCGCAGGTTGGGAGACCACGCGGACGTCATCGACGACGATGATGGCGACGATGACAGCGGCGGCTACGCCGACAACGGTGAGCTGCCCGCGAAGAAACACGTCCCCGGGCCACGCAGCAGAGAGAAGGAAGCCGAGGACAAAGGAAGAGGAGGAGAAGACGGTGACGACGACGACGACGAAGACGACGACGACGAAGACGACGAAGACGACGAAGGGGAAGACGTCGGCGACAGCGGCGACAGCGGCGGAGGGGATGGTGACGAGTCGACGGAGTTGTCGTCGGGCCCGGCGCCGCGGGGGCCGCAGGGTGGCAGCGCGAGGGTCGCCTCCCCGTGCCTCAGGATTTCGCCGGAGATGGCGCGCCTGGCGGCCGCGGCTCTGAGACCTCCCCCGCCGGGGGCCGTGACGGCGTCCGTGAAGAAGGAGCACGAGGACTGCGTGGGAGACGGTGAGCCCAGAGGCCTCTATAGCTCTAACTTCTCCTACCGCTCCCCTCACCCGGTGATAATGACGATGACGACGATGATGGCATTTTGCTGTGAACCAGTAATTTTGTAGCATGCACTCATCTCCCGTGCTATTGATTCCTTTGGGACAAAATTAGAAGCGCATTAATTTGCGAAGGCTCTTAAGTTAATCTGCTGTGGAAAATCACGTTCCATTTCAAGAACATAGCCCCCCCCCCCCACTGTTTCCAGATTAGTTTTCTTCCATGGTGTGGGGATTGTGTTTGAGTTGTATTGACACTGAAGGTAAGTCTGTACGAGGATGTTTTATTCCTATTTGCAAGGAAACATTCCGTACGCTGACAGCGTTTTAATTTAGATCCTACGAGCAAGGGATGATTTGCACTTTACATTCCATGTTTGTTGTGACGTGTAAAAGCACAAACTGTATTTGTACTATACCGGTTCTCCTATAAAGGCAAAGATCCCCCATATAGCCTAAACATACTTTTGGGGCAAGTGCTTTTAGCGCCACGGTGGCGAGATGTAAACTACCTTGCCTGGTATACAGGAGGTTGTGGGTTCGATCCCTACCCTGACGGCTGCTGTATATTTGGAGTTTGCATGTTCTCCCCGTGGTCGCGTGGATTTTTATCCGGGTGCTCCGGTTTTTCCCTCCATATTTAGAAACATGCGCTTCGATTATTTGGCTGCTATAAGTTTCGACGTGATAAGCCACTTGGTGGAGCTATCATTTGTAGCCAGGTTGCTTCTGCAAAAGAGCTCTCTGCGGCTCCGTGAGCGTTACCTGGTAATGGCCAGTACAGCACACAAGGGGGTGGGTGGCCAGCACAATACCTGGCCCCCTTTGTCTCTGCACTGGCAATGTTTACACATCGTACCAGATACTCATTTAAAGCTGAATTGACCTAGGGGGAGGCCCAGGACCGGTTCAGATATTCGTCACTGGTTTGGTCATAAGCGGGAATCAGAATTTGGGTCGCTGGGTTCGTAGCGCAGCGAGCTGACCGTGATACACACTCATGCACGCACGTAATCTTGCGCAAAAAGAGAAATGAACACATATGAACCCATACATGCACATACACAAACACCGACTCGCACACACACATACAAATACATGAAATGCACACACCCCATGACACTACTCATGTGCTTCCTCGCTCTCTTCCCAACTGCCATCACATGACCAGGACTCAGCCAATGGGAAGGCTCGGCCAGAGTTCAAATCAAACAAGAACCCTGTGATCATGTAAACCCCGACCCAAGCCCAAAGAATCATGGGTAAGGCCTTGTATCTGCTTCATCGAAACTACAAACACACATAGAGTAATATAACTTTTCTACGTAAAATTGAATGTTTCATTGTACCTTGACTTTTATGTTCATGATATGTATTTAAACCTCTCACGTCACAATTGTAATAACTGTGGTGACAGCTTATGAGCAATACATCTCTATTGCAGGCCATTGATAGAAGGACCCTTGGCTGGATCCTTGTCGTCTTTTCTGCTCAGGGTGAGTGCCTGATAAAAATGTACTCGGCAACAGCAGTTGATTCACAGGCCATGTGGAGGAGAGGTCACGGGGTCAAACATGCCACCTGCTTTCCATACTCCCCAATCTCTGCCTCTCTACTCCCCAGGCTTGCCAGGTTTAATCACAGACATAAGATCCACTACGATTTCCTCAGGCGCTTTTTTGTTGTCGCATGATATCATTTTTTTACTGATTTAATTCTTTAAAACATCACATTTTCTGACAAATTATGATATAACACAACAATTAAAGTTGTTATAGTAATAGGTTTTTACCCTTTTAGCAGGTCTTTCTCCGTGGTATGTATGTTGCTGAACTTCTTTCGCACCATACGTAGCCAACTGTGCTAATCGAAGATGGTCAGACAACAGCCTCGGCATAATTTGAGTTACGATGCTGAAAGACGAGCACGTTTAATGGGCCATAACACCTTTAATTATGAGACCTCCTTTGCCAGTAACAAGATATAGTAATGGGTTATTACCCTTTTAGCTGGCACAAAAACTGACACCTTTATACAAGGGATCATGTTTGCAATAACCACAACACAAGCAGTCAAAAATGCAAACAAAAAGAGACAACTCTGATAATGATGTGCACTGTCCTTGAATTTGATTGGTCCACACCCGAGACGGCTTTTCTTAGAGCCTAGTCTCCACTGGTGTTGGACCAGATAACACCATAAGGTGTACATCTCAAAAACAGTGCACTATCAGAGTATTGAGAGCTCGGGATAAGCCTTTACATTATGAGACTTATTTTTCCAGTAAAAAGATATAGTAATATGCAACTCCAAATATACCCTCTTATTATATTTTGGTGCTGGCAAAGGGAGCCCTCAATACTCTGATAGTGTGCTGTTTTTGAGTTGTACGCCTTTTGGCGTCATCTGGTCCAACACCAGTGGAGACTAGGCTCTAAGAAAAGCCGTCTCGGGTGTGGACCAATCAAATTCAAGGACGGTGCATATCATTATCAGAGTTGTCTCTTTTTGTTTGCATTTTTGACTGCTTGTGTTGTGGTTTTTGTAAACATGATCCCCTTGTATAAAGGTGTCAGTTTTTGTGCTAGCGAAAAGGGTAAAAACCTATTACTATATCTTGTTGCTGGCAAAGGAGGTCTAATAATTAAAGGTGTTATGGCCCATTAAACGTGCTCGTCTTTCAGCATCGTAACTCAAATTATGCCGAGGCTGTTGTCTGACCATCTCCGATTAGCACAGTTGGCTACGTATGGTGCGAAAGAAGTTCAGCAACATACATACCACGGAGAAATACCTGTTGATCGTCCCCAAATCCCGGACTGTCCGAACCTGGCTGAGTGGCAATTCTCCGTGGCCGCTCTCTTGTCTCCCGCTCCACACACCAAGTGCCACGCACCCCCTCCTAGCTGCACGAGTCTGCTGAAGGACGCCGCTGTCGCTCAGGGTGCGGTGGCACGGGGGTCACAGACGAACCGTGACCCCTGTGCTCCTCCGCCTCTCCGAGTTCACGATCGAATAACGACTTGAAATTTGTGCCTTGGTTTAACATTGTTTTGCTATTGTCAGTAGTAGCAATTCATTAATAATGATGTCTTTATTACCGTGTAGGCATTAACAGCGGCGTCCCAAACATAAGTTCGATATCGGATCCTAGCATCGAGAAATCCTGGTGCCGCCCTTGCTCGGAACACAATAGAGCACGTGACTAAACTCGGCACGATGCCAGGTCTGGTCATCTCCTTCAGTAGTGTCAAATTGAAGGAAGGTCGGGTTGTGACTGCGGAGAGACCCTGGCCAAAATCATAGAGTGCACTGTGAACCACTGCCAACTTTGCAAATTCAATGGAGGCAGCAGCAGCAACAACAGCCGCAGCAATTCATTCAGCCTCACTTGAGGCCATCGCGTGGCAATCACACACTTGGATGTAGATCTTGATGTGGCTATTCACAGAGACATGTTCGTACGTATGTTGAACTTATTTCGCACCGTGCATAGCCAACCGTGCTCATCGCAGCTGCAGGGGAAGGACAACAAACTAAAGACAAAAGGCAGTTCTAAAGAAATTAGTTTTCAATCTAGACTTAAAAGTGCATAGCTCCAATGGCTTCCTAATATCGGAAGGAAGAGTGTTCCAGACGTCCGCAGAAGCGCGTCTGAAAGCGTGGGATGCAGCGACCGTCTTCGATGGCTAGCCAAAGCCGCTGCTAGGATGACCGGACTTCGAATGATGATTTATGCTCCTTAACGAGATCAGCACGGTATTGTGGTTCATTTGTGGCAAGCACTTTGTGACATACGCAAGAAGAAGATAGCTGTTATATATTGTAAAGTTACGATGGTTAGGACTTTACGGCAGACCTTTGCCAAGTGAACAGCAGTTGAAGACCGTTTTTGCGATGTTTATTCTTACAAGGAGGACACCAAAATAAATCCAATCAGTTACAAAGTTATGGGGAACAGAATTCACAATTAGCATCATGTCGTACCGTCAAAAATGATGTCATAGCAACGCAACGCTCCCTTTCTCTTGCAGACTGGAATGGGGCTCTCTGAATCGCTGAGCCTGCAGACGAGTGGCCAATCAGGCGCAACTTTCATCAACCAATCCCTGAGGGCTGCCATCAAGCATGAAAACCCAACAGCATTATGGGAAAAATACCTACAACGGTAAAGTAATGTTTTTTTAATAATAGGGTTTTTCCCCTTTTTTCTGGCAACAAAACTTTAACCTTTTTACAAGGATTCATGTCTGCATTAACCACAATACCTGCAGTCAAAATGCAAACAAAAAACATACTATGATAATATATGCATTGTCCTTGAAACTGCTTGGTTAATGCAGACATATGAATCCTTGTAAAAAGGTTTCAGTTTTGTTGCCAGAAAAAAAGGGAAAAACCCTATTATTACATTTTGGTACTGGCAAAAGAGGTCTAATGATGAAGATAATGTTTTTTTCTTTTATTGTTTTGTTGTGTATATTTTTAAAGATTTGTTTTATGAACGAGCTTACGTGTGTATGTACATAGCAGTCGTGCAATGATCGCGGAAACCTGGGTTCATATTCCCAGCCATGGCGAGTTATTTCTGAACCTACACTGAGGCGCAACTCCAACCTTATGTGAGTACCTGGTGTGGTGTGTAAACATCAGCACTGGGGAGACAAAGGCAGCCAGGTGTGCTGTTGGGCCACACCACCCCCTCAGAAGTGCGCCGTACCGACCTTCATAAGTGCTCGCTAACCGCCCTTGCCCCAACAGTCTGTGTAGGCTACATGGAGAATCTTTGTCTTTGTTGTGTTGGTGCAGGTTTACGGACGGCGCGTGCCGGGAGCCGGCGTGCGATTTCTCGCACTCGGACCACGTGCACTGTCGTGTCGACGGCTGCGGTGCGATCTTCCGTACCATGGACGGTGCCAACAAACACGCGAGGTGCACACGCACACACGCACGCACGCACATACACACAGACAAAGATCCCCCATATAGACTGGGGCAAGTGCTGTCAGCGGGCAGCAATGAACGTCGCACGGCACACGAGGGGGTGGGTGGCCAGCACCACGCCTGGTCGACTTTGTCTCCTCAGTGGCGATGTTTACACACCACAACAGGTACTCATTTGAGGCCGAGTCGACCTAGGGGAGGCCCAGGTCCGGTTCAGATAATCGTCACCGATGTTGGCTTGGAGCGGGAATCAAACTCGGGTCGCTGGGTTCGTATCGCAGCGCGCTAACCGCTGCGCCACCGCTCCCACATAGACGTACACACATGGAATTTCATTGTGGGACAGGCCTATGTGTATATGTTGAACTTCTTTCACACCCTACGTAGCTCATCAGACCTTGGTATTCTGGGTGCAACTGTGCGAAGGCTTTGTGACAGGCGGTGCCGGGACCCACACTGTTGCCTCTACATATGTCCGAGCTGTTACCTCGTTTGTAGCTGATGCTTGCGATCACCATCTCCTTCAGTTTCCACGGCCGCGTTGATGGCTGTGGGCCTGTCGCCGTGGTGACTGGCTCCCTGCTTCCCTCCCTGCTCGCCTGGACACAGCAGCAACAGCAGCAACAGCAGCAGCAGCAACAGCAGCAGCAGCAACAGAAACTGTCTCTACATCAACCGCTGCACCAAGCTGCCCTGCACACACAGCAGCAGCAGCAGCACAGACAACCACTACCCACTCACGCACAGCCGGACCTGATAGGTGTGCAGCAGCAGCAGCAACAGCCGCAACAACAACAACAGCAGCAGCAACAGCGACCCGTGCTTCAGCAGCAGTTGATGAAGCCGTTTGCGATGAACAACCACTTGCAACCGCAGCAGGTGGTGACGGGTCAGCAGCTGAATGGGCAGCAGATGAATCTGCAGGAGCAGCAGGCGGTGGTGCAAGTGCAACAGCAGTACCAGCATTTGCTGCGCACGCACTTGGATTCGCAGCAGTCAGCGCATCATCATCAGCAGCATCAGCAGCATCAGCAGCAGTCTCACACGGCCCGGCTTCAAGAATCGCAGCCACAGATTAAGCCAGGCTTCCTGCAGTTCGATGAGAAGTAAGTATTTGTGTTTATTTAAACGAGACCATTACGAGAGGCTAGATTGCACTGATTTTTTATCACGGCTTTGCCAGGGACACCGAACTGGATTGTGGGTTTGCGGCCGTATTAAAATAAAAAACACACTTGAGCCATTTACCTCGGAGAATTGGGGTTTAAACCAGGGTCTGGGACTCTCTCTGTGGGCCCTCGCAATGGCTGCATCAAAGACACTAATCCAGCGTCACTGTGAGAGATCACCGGTGGTTGTCCTGTAAAGAGACTGACCCCTGCCATGAGAATGTGGAATTTGACACCAGAGTGGTTCAGCGATGCGAATAGTGATCAGCGCTGGCCCCCCATTGCTCGTTGGGGCAGAGAGGCGGCGTGACTTGGCTTTTGTATCGTTTATGGTGGCGCTAACCGTTTGCCGTGGATTTTCCTAAGCTCACATTGCATGCGTAAAGTCATGCACGTGAGATTTTATTTACGATTCATCCCAAATTGTGTTCATAGCATCAGCTTATGTTACACCTAGGCTCATGGGATCTTAGGAAACCATATCTGCGGGATATATTTATTCTTAGAAACAATACATGTTGTGTTGACGGTCACCACCAGTGACGATTATCTGAACCGGTCTTGGGCCTCCCCTAGGTCGACTCAGCCTCAAATGGCGCGGTAAACATTGCCATTGGGGATAGGGGGAGACGAAAGCGGCCGGATATGGAGGGTGGTGACCACCCACCCCTCTAGTTTGCCGTGCCGGCCTTCATAGGCGCTACCTGCTAACAGCACTTTCCCCAAAAGTCCGTTAAGACTATACGGGGGGGGGGGGATCTTTGTCTTGGGCGTGGGTGGGGTGGCCGGGTGAATCTCTGCGTCTGCCTCCACCCTGCCTTCCTCCCCCTCTCGCGCCATCCCGCAGCGACCCGTGCCTGAGTCCCGAGTGCAAGTACGCGCGTGCGCGCCACTTCCACTGCCTGTTCGGCGCGTGCAAGTACGTGTGCAAGAGCGCGGCCAAGGCGGAGTCGCACTGCACCGACCACGTGACGCCCACGCACTGCACGGAGAGCGCTCGTCGCCACTTCCACTACCACTCCGCGCAGGAGCCCTGCCCCCTGCCGGTAAGCAATGATGACCCCCCCCCCCACCACCACCACCGCCGCCCCCCCCCACTCCCCCCTCGTTCACTGTCGTGACTTTAAAATATAAAGCCGACGGTAAAGACGGTGAACCTACATCGAACTCTAAACGTAACCCGAAACCCGAACAATAATAACAACAACAACTCCGCCCCATATTCTTGGTTCTTTCGGTAAAGTCACGTAGAAGGGAAACAATAAAATAATAAAAAATATAAAACAGTCAAATTCTTACGACGTTTCGACTGCAACACAAGCAATCATCATCAGGTGTGAAAACCACAACAAGAAACGTCGTGAGAATTTTATTGTTTTATATTTTTATTATTTTATTGTTTCCCTTTCTACGTGACTTTACTGAAAGAACCAGGAATATGAATCCCTGCAGTCACGAAAGCTTTAAATCAAAACCCTGCCCCATGGCCACAAGAGACGATCGCTCCCTTCCCTACCGTCGTGCAGATGACTCTGATGCTAAACCTAAACCGACGTCTTACGCTCTCCCCTAACGCTAAAACTATGACATACGTGTAAGTCATCGGAACGTAACCAGAAAAAAACTAAATTAAAATAAATTTATCGGTACCGGGGCTCCCACAAGGCCATGCGGGAGGGCGTGGTACAGTTTGGCGCAAGCTATCTTAGAGTGTGGTGGTCGTGTCGCTACGGTTCTCTGCGGTGAGAACATTGTCTTTAAAAACAACAGGGCTACCTTATATATGAACGTCATTTTTTGTCTGTCTGTCTCTCCGTCTGTCTGTGTGTGGACGCAACTTGCGAAGGATTTGGCTCGCAAACCGTGGGGTTTACGTTTTAAAAAAGTAGCCAGGTATCACGCCATATGGGGCTGGGTGGGAAGGGAGGGGCTGGGTGGGGAGGGGAGGGTGGGGAGGGGCTGGGTGGGGAGGGCTGGGTGGGTTGAGTGGGGAGGGTGGGGAGGGACTGTGTGGGGAGGGTGGGGAGGGGCTTGGGAGGGGGGTGGGTAGGGTGGGGCTGGGTGGGGTGGGGCTGGGTGGGGAGGGGAGGGTGGGGAGGGGCTGGGAAGGGGAGGGTGGGGCTGGGTGGGGGGTGGGAGGGGTGGGGCTGGGTGGGGAGGGGCTGGTCACCCCGTGGTGCCCTTATAAAACTCAACGTTTAACCTACTCACGCCGGCTTTTGCCCACCCTCACAGTCAGGCATATTTGCGGAATACACCACGCCGCCGTTGACCCTGGCCATTGACCGAGCAACCCAACGTTCCTACCAGCTCCCTCCGCAGGAGAATGTGTTTTCGCTTCCGTCACCTTTGAAGTAGTTTAATTAGCGATTTAGTGCTGTTTTTAGTTATTTATTAGCTAGCGGCATGCTCGACCCTACCAACTCACACGCATTCGGTGGGGGTGAGGGGAGAATTCTCTTTTGTGTAGACACTGCGAAAGGTAACACAAAGATTTACAGCTCCCTTCAAACATTTATTACCATGGCTGTTTACTCATTACAAATTGGCTTTTATAGGTTAGAGATTTAATGACAGGGATTAACCAATGTTTTATGACAGTTACCCTAAGTAACAAGATTTTTCTCCCTGACTACCACGATATTTGCTTTAGCGACCACGTTTTTGTGAGGCCATGACACTTATGCACACGTTTTCTCTTTGAAAATAGGTGTAAGTCGATGTGTTTGCAAGTTGCTGTGTGTGTGCCTGATTCAATGTGTGTGTGTGTCAGTCGAGGTGTGTGTGTTCGTCAATGTGTGTGCGTGGTGTGTGTGTGTAGACAACTCGTATTTAAAAATTCAGTTAGTAAATATTACAATACTAATGTGTGCGTCTAAGTCCATGTGTGCGTGTCTGCGTCGATGTGCGTGTCTGCGTAGATATGTGTGTGTGTCAGTCGATGTGTGTGTGTCAGTCGATGTCTGTGTGTGAGTCGATGTGTATATGTGAGTCGGTGTGTGTGTGAGTCGATATGTGTGTCAGTCTGTGTGTGTGTGGCTCCATGTGAGTGTGTAAGTTCATCTCTTTGTGTGTGTGTAGGTCCATGTGTGTGTGTGTGAGTCGATGTGTGTGTCAGTGAAAATATAAAAAATTGTGTGTGCGTGTAAATCAATGCGTGTGAGTTGATGTATGTGTGTGTGTTGGTCGATGTATGTGTGTAAGTCGATGTGTGTGTGTGTTAGTCGATGTGTTTGTGTGTGTGTACGTCGATGTGTGTCTCTAAGTCCATGTGTGTGTAAGTCCATGTGTGTGTGTACGTCGATATGTCTGCGTGTAAGTGGATGTGTGTGTGTGGCTGTATGTGCGTGTGTGAGTCTGTGTGTGTGTAAGTCGATGTGTGTGTGTTAGTCAATATGTGTGTATGTGTAAGTGCATATGTGTGTGTGTAAGTCAATGTGTGCGTGAGTCTATGTATGTGTGTGTGAATCCGTGTGTGTGGGTCGATGTGTTTGTGTGTGTGGGTCGATGTCTGTGTGTGTGTGTGTGTGTAAGTCGATGTGTGTGTGTGTGTGTGTAAGTCGATGTGTGTGTGTGTAAGTCGATGTGTGTGTGTGTCTTTCTCGCCCGGGCAACGCCGGGTACTTCCCGCTTGTGTCTCTTTAAATAAAGTAAAAAATAAAATTGGTACTGGCAAAGGAGGTCCCATGATGTTTTAGCTCGCCCCGAGCTCTAATTACTCTGATGGTGCGTTGTCTTTGTGCTGTACACCTTTCGGCGTCCTCTGGTCAAACTCCTTTTTGAGACTAGGCTCAAAAGAAAGCTGTCTCTGGTGTGGACCAATCAGTTTCATAGATAATGCATCATATTATCAGAGTGCGTTTTTTGTTGCATTCTGATCACAAGTATTGTGGTTAATGCAGACATGATTCCTTGTAAAAGATCTCAACACCTGTTTTTGTTGCCAGAAAAAAGGGGAAAACCTATTCTCAATCCTTTACATGTCGTGTGCTTCTGTGTGTATGCACATGTCCGGGTGTGTGTGTAACAGTTAGCGCTCTGCGCTACGAACCTCACGACCCAAGTTCGTTTTCGGCTTACAGCCAACACCAGTGACTATTCCTGAACAGGTCCTGGGCCTCCCCTAGGTCGACTCGGCCTCAAATGATTACCTCATGTGATGTGAACATCTACACATGGGGGACAAAGACAGCCGACCGTGGGCGTGGTGCTGGCCACCCACCCCATCGTGTACCGTTCCGGCCTTCATGGGTGCTCGCTCAGAGCACTTGCCCCAACAGTCTGTTCAGACTTTCTAGGGGTCTTTGTCTTTGTGCGACCGTGTCTATGCGTGTCCCTGTATGCGTACCGTCTCCCCGAGTGCGTGTGTCTCCCCGCGTGTGTATCTACGTATGCATATTTAACTTGGCCAACCGTGCTAATCAAAGGTGTGTGTGTGTGCGTGTGTGTCCCTGCGCGTGGCACACACGTGGGCCCCATTGCGCAGGAGTGCGAGTTCCGTTCACGCGGCCACTACCACTGCGCACGCGGGGGGTGCGAGTTCGCCACCAACGTGAGCACCAAGCTGCCGTGGCACGTCAAGAAGCACGACAAGGCCGAGCGGCGCGCGGCCAATGGCTTCAAGTACTACACCAAGCGCGACGAGTGTGGGCGTGACGGTACGTGCGCACGCGCGCGTGTGTATGTCTGTGCATATCTCAGACGGTCAACCCATGGTACCTGGGTCTGTCCCGTGACCTGCTAGCGAGCCTTCAACAGGTCACGTCGCCTCAAAGTGCACCGAGCCTGGCACAGGGGTTGTAGTGAAGTCACCACCACTTAGTTGCAAATGGCGGTTGTTGTTGTTGTGCGTGCGTGTGATGAGTGTGCGTGTGTGTGAGCAGCGGTGGCGTAGTGGTTAGCGTGCTGCGCTACGGATACGTCGACCCGAATTCAGTTCCCACTCATGTCCAATAACAATGACGAATATTTGAACCGATTCTGTGCCTCCCCGGAGGTCCGCTCGGCCTCAAGTGAGTAGCTTGTGCTGTGTGTGAACAGCAGTACTGGGTAGACGAAGGTGGCCGGGCATGGTTTTGGTGACCCAGCCTTTGACTGCCTTGCCCATTACTCTCACCCTCTGAGAGTGAACTAGAAACTGTCCATGTCCTAAAATCATGTTTATTTGTTAATTTATTTATCTCTGCCGCCCAGGTTCAACTTCGGCGGGGGGGTAACCTTGGCGATTGCTGTGTCGTGGGCCCCTCCTGTGTCCGTACTACGCACCCGCTAGGAGTGACAGGCGCTCGCTCGCAGTAATAGGCCCTCGCTAACAGTGCCTGTCCGTGCCGTGTCGTCAGGGTGCAAGTACGGCCGGGTGAGCAGTCACTTCCACTGCATCAGGGACGGCTGCTCGTTCTCCTTTCTGCTCAAGCACCAGATGACATCGCACGCACGCAAGCATGCGCGCCGTGCCCTATCCCTCGGAAACCAGGTGCGCATGCACGCAGGCGCACGCACGCACACATATGCACGTGCGCACACGTGCACATAGATGAACACAAGCGCATGTGCATGTACAACAACGATAACAGCGGCCGTTCGCCGCTAATTGGCGGTGACGCCACCACGACGCTTGTGCCACGCTAGGTGCACACACAACCGCACAAATGCACATTGCCATACAGGTATAGACACGCGCGTACACATACACAAACGCAAGTATATGTGTGTCTGACATATTTTACAGTTTACCGTAGTAGGTGTTTAAGTGTATGCTTTCGTGTACGCTTTCACAGATCCATGCACATACACGCATAATACGTGCACGCGCACTCACATACGCTTACACGTGTTAACACACGTACTCCCACTCGGATACACACATGCTCACACACGCACGCACAAGCACGCGAACACACAAACGCGCGCACGCAAACGTGTATACTGCAGTAAACATTGGAATCGTTTGGCCAACGTCGAGGCCAACGGTTCCATCCCATGCCAACGTTGTGCCAACGTTGTGCCAACGTTGGCATGAGTCAGAATCAAAGAACTCCATTATCGTGGCATCATTGGACTGCAGCGGCTGGAAGAGAAGGCCCAGTACGAACACCGCTACCAATGCCTTGCTCACAGCAACGAGGGAATGGCAATAAAGGCTCGCTCACTAGCAGCCCCACATGCTGAAGAATAAAAAAAGCTCAACACACCCACTCGCTAATACTAAACACATTCACACACATCCACACATAAGTATGCATGCACACATGCACATACGTATGCATACACACACGCGCACACAAAGACAAAGATCCCCAGTATAGCCTTCAAGGTTGTTGGGGAAAGTGTTATCAGCGAGCACCTATGAAGGCCAGCAGGGTACATGAAGGTGCGGGCGGGTGGTTAACACCACGCCCGGCCACCTTTGTCTCACCCAGTGCTAATGTGTTATACACACTGCACCAGGTACTCATTTACGGCTCGGGCGACCTAGGGGAGGCCCAGGACCGGTTCAAATATATATTCGTCACTGTTCTTGGTCATGAGCGGGAGTTGAACTTGGATCGCCGGGTTCATAGCGGAGCGCACTAACCGCTACATTACTGGGGTGTTCTATGATTCTGACGTCAACGCTCGCACAAACGCAACCACGCACCCGTGCGCTTCACGTTTCTGCCAAATCGCCCTCTGCCCCACTCTGGCCACCTCCGGCTGTCGCGCCCACAGATGAAGCCGCCGTGAGCTCTGCTGCTCTGTCCTGGCTGCTTTTGTTTCTGTCACTTCTCCAAAGAGTGCCACCGTATGTCACATCCGTGATATTGATGGGGTTACCCGTGTGAAGGTGCCAGGCATTTCGTCACAGCTGCGAGATGTGGCTTAGGCTTGGGGGGAGGCCTTCATCCAGCAGTCGATTGGTCATGGCTGATGATGACGATGATGATGATGCGGAAAGTTTAAGAAAAGTAAGGCGGGCTTGGGCAGGACTAGTCACGGCTAGAAGGGACGATGGCAAGGTGTTCGACCAATGTCGGAGTGGCAGGCAAAGGAGGGAATGCGCCTATGATGGTGTCCAACGCGGAAATGTAGTTATGAAGTCGCCCAGTGTGCGGGAGCTGGAAGGGATTGTTGTTTGATTATAATTCGTCAATTCCTTTGGAGGAATTTTATTTGGAGGCTTTCACGGCCAATATCACGATTCATAATGAGTTTATTTTGGGTTAGATCACTGTGTGGGTATAATGCCCATTTTGTAACTATTTATTGATGGAGCCAATTACTTTAAGTTATCACGTCGCGGAAAAATTACGTATACAAATCGAGTTGGTTTATCAGCAAAACCGGAGGAGGAGGAATGTTGAAAGACAATATGTTTGACAATTTATATTCTGAGTTGTGCTGGGGATTACATCCAGCATCGTCAGGCGTTAAACAAGAGCTCAGAACTGGGAATTAACGTTGATAAATAATAAATCAAGCTGTCGTTAATTATTCTAATTCAAAAGTATTTATTGACCGGTTTCTGGGTGTAGTAGGCTCCCCCACGCTGTGTGTGTCAGCCACGAGGAAGCTAATAAACCAAATCAGTTGGCGGCACATTTGCCCATGGTGTGACAACTTGATGTGATCAGCTCTGTCGGCTGGTGGTTATAGTTCCAAATTAGCATCACACACTACTCGACGATCTAATGCAAATTAAACCAATCGTGATTCCTGCCGAACTCGGACGGGGGTTACTAAAGCCCTGCTGGATGATAGGCACCTTGGGGTGGGTTTTAAGACACGCGCCAGGGCTGTGCTCAAAAGTTTTCTTGGAAGCCGGCGGCGATCCTCTGCTCGGTTTTTTGAGCCGCTTGTTAGAACGGGGGTGGGGCGTGGTGGCACATGCCAGTAATTCCATGATCCACGCCGGTAAATCTGTAATTCACGCCAGTAAATCCATGATCCGTGCCGGTAAATCCGCGATCCGCGCCGGTAAATCCATGATCCACGCTGGTAAATCCGTGAATCAATGCCAGTAAATCCATGATCCACGCCGGTAAATCCGTGATTCATGCCGGTAAATCCGTGATCCACACCGGTAAATGCGTGATCCATGCCGGTAAATCCGTGATACATGCAAGTAAATCCATGAACCGCACCGGTAAATCCGTGCTCCGAAGATGAAGAGGTTGGGGAGGATCCCCAGCTGAATTTCTAATGTGCTTGAGACAGCCAGCTGTGTGACCACAACCCAGTAAGCATGCAAACGTTGGGCTGACATTGGTTGACGTTGGACGAACGTTGTCTCAACGTTAAACCAACATTGGCCCCAGCGCTGCATGCTTATTTAGGAAGAGGCCTGTACCCAGTAAATATGGAACGTTTGGTCAACTTTGGGTCAACTTTGGTCTAACAGTTCCAACCACATACCAACGTTGGCCCATTGCATGTTTGCTGAATATGAGGCACGACTGTAATCAGGTTGCTGAGCTATGTTGTGAGGGATTTTTTGTGCAGATCCCCTCGTACGCAAGGGTTTTCTCTAATAATCCAAGCCAGAGCCTCTTGGTTAAAGAGGTTAATGTGAGTCATTAGTGGAATATTATTACTATTATTGCACAAAACTTGTGACTCATTATGATTAGGTTTTATACGGGACTAATTGAGATTTTCCTCAAAGAAGCCAAATGTTACCCCCTTACCCCATCCCGCCGCGTTAATTTGCGACTCACGGAGCCGTGTGATTGGTCACTTTCAGACTCCGCCCACTCCGCCCGTCGCCATGGACGTGCACGTGGAGAGGGCCCGAGGTAATGGCGGCTTCACCCGCATCACCACGAGGGTTGCCAACCTGTCCTGGTTTTCCCAGGAAATTGTATCGTTTTGAGGAAGTAGCTGCCCCATCCTGGGACCACTCTGTAATTCTTCCCCGGGACACTTAAAGTCCTGGCGTTTGTCAGTTGCATAACAATACTGCACCGCTCAAGGTTAATTGCATTAAGGCGTAGTTCTCCCCACTTCTGGCCATTGTGAGGTATTCTTCTTCCCGTTATTATGTCCTGGAATTTTGTACCTCAAGAAGTGGCAACCCTAGTGACAAGCGATTACCTAACAAAATGCGCGCACACAACACCACCGACGCCGCCGCTTCTGCCGCTGCGTCTGCCATGCGAAACGACCCAATAAAGAACCGGAGTCTCTTCTTTGGTTCTTTCGGTAAAGTCACCACGTAGAATGAGAATAAAATAATAAAATAAAACAATAAAATTCTCACGACGTTTCGGCCACAACACAAGTAGCCGTCCTCAGGTGAAGAAACAGGACTGTCCAGAAGACAGCGCTTGTCTTCTGGACTGTCTTCTGGACAGTCCTGTTTCTTCACCTGAGGGCGGCTACTTGTGTTGTGGCCGAAACGTCGTGAGAATTTTATTGTTTTATTTTATTATTTAATTCTCATTCTACGTGGTGACTTTACCGAAAGAACCAAAGAAGATGAATCCTTGCAGTCACGAAAGCTTCAAATCGAAATTTAACCGGAGTCTCCTGAAGCAAAGCCTTGAGACGGCGGGGATTTTCTCACACTCCCGGCCGTTGCGGCACAAACTTTGCGGGAAGTCGGCTAGTGGCGGTTGGCCTGTGGACTAGCCCCTGCCATGAGAATGTGCAAATTTCACCACCAGCACAAGGCGGTCAATGGAGATAAGTGACTGTGAGGGTGATTTTTGCTTGATGACCTAAATTAACAAGTGCTCGCGGCTGTGTTTGGCACTGAAATTGCCCTGTGCACCGTAGGCCACTAAACGTAATGTGCAGTGTCGGCGGAATTAAATCGCGAGGCACGACGGGCCTGTGGTCGGGTGGCTCACAGGTTAGAGAGCTGAGCTGGCACCGCTGAAATCTGGGGTTGGAATCCAGGTTTTCCGCCGCCCGCAATTAAACCGGGTTCTAGTGACGTTCGTGGTACTCGGCCCAGCGGCATTGTACTACGCAAACTTTTTTTTTAATATACATCGCATTTAATTTGCTTTTGTATTTCAATTTGCTGAATTCCAGCTATGAGAATCGAACCTATCCAATTTTACTGTCATGCGATGAACATTACTCTGAAGAACAGGTGGGAGAGTGCTGCCCTTTAGACTGGACGAGGGAGTCACTGGAGATTTTGCAAATAGTAGTTCTGCGATATCTCCTGCGGAACCTTCCTGCGACGTGGACCGATGCATCGCTCCGCAAGGTTGCCGAGCGGCGTGATGCTGCCAATGGCAAAATTCGGATGAAATTGGGTGAAAATATAACAAAAACTCATCGATACTTGAGCCGCGTATGTTTTGCAGAGCAACAGTGCGTAACATTGGAGATGTTTACGCGCTTGCGCGTCCTTTGCCGTTATTACGTGCACTGTACAGCGGCGTGACGAGCCATCTTTGCGACCTCGTAAATTATTCAGTTACGACAGAAATTCTGCGAAACTTGGTCTCGGTTGGGGGTCAACTGCGAGCGGGACGTCGGGAGGAGCTGGTGGTGGTGCGATGCGCACGGCATTGTTTAACGCGGTCGTTTCGTTGTGAATGGGTAGGAAAGATGCTCAATCCTGGAGGTGGAATCTAAACGCCAAAGCGCCATTTTCCCAATAGATTTTCTCACTGCGAACAAAGTAAAATACAGTGAAAAAAAATTCACTATTTAACTATTTCTATTTTAGCAGGTAAGGCCCACTGAGCTATGTAGCTCTTTTTCAGAAGCGACCTGGCCACAAATGATAGTTCAATGAAGTGCCTTATCACGTGGAAATTTTCAGGCTGCATGGAATTTTGGTAAAAAATAGCCCATTGTGCCACTTCCAAGCCCAACCGCCAGATTAAGTGCATGTGCAACCCGGCTTTAGTTATATATTGTTTCAATATAGTTGCTTGCCAGTCCACTAACAAACTGATGTATTAGATCATGGACATAGGTGTGTAGCATATAGCACAGTTGTGTGTGCCTAGTTAACACAGTACAAGTGCGTGTGATGCCACTTAAAACAGTAGCACCGGTGTGTTTATGGATTTTCACTTTAACCACTTTTCTTGGCTTCCTGTGTTTATTCACTCTGCGTGCGTGTGTGTCCCTTCTCTTCTCGCGTGCACACACACACACAGGAGCCTCTCTGCCCATCTCCCCTTCGCTCTCTCCGTCTCTCCCCATGCCTCTCTCTCTTCCAACACCAATCCCTCAGCCACTGGCGCAAGCTCCCTCCACGTCCTGTCATTCACTCTCGCTTGCACCACCCATCTCATGCCTGGCCCTACCTACTCCCTGTCTGGCACCGCCTACCTCCTGTCAATCATTGCTGCAGCCTGCACCCACATCAGGTAACACCTGACAATGATAATGTTATGTTAATATTAAAATTGCTCGCACAGAAAACATCTGTTGCCCTCGAATTTGATAGTGCTCTTGTCCACAAGGCGGAATTTCAGCTGATTGTTCGGTGATGCCTCTACTTCCTCAGTGGTGCAAAAGCATAAATAATCAAAACAAGTCAACAAATTTGTTAATAACACTGTATGGCCTTAAAAGGAAAATATATACTAGGCAACGTTTTGGGCAATGGCCCTTCTTTACGTGCTATGTTACATCTTTTATATATTTGTGTTGTTAATTAAACAGCTCGGAACCGTCCAGGTCAATGACCCGGAAAATATCTCCACACCCAGCACCCCAGATCCAGCATACCTTCTCGCTATACCAGCGACCTGGAAAATACAGTGAAAAAAAATTCACTATTTAACTATTTCTATTTTAACAGATAAGGCCCACTGAGCTATGTAGCTCTTTTTCAGAAGCGACCTGGCCACAAATGATAGCTCAACGAAGTGCCTTATCACGTGGAAATGTATCGCATGCAAATACCCTACACGCATGTTTCGAAATGTGGAGGGAAAAACCGGAGGACCCAGAGGAAAATCCACGTGGCCACGGGGAAACATGATAGAAAGGCGTCATGGTCGAAATCGAACCCATGGCTGCATACTAGGTGATGTGAGTTAATATCTCGCCCCCGTGGCACCCAAAGCCCTGCATGTCTATCATCGGTATTGAGTTTCGTGGTGGAAATTCCATTTTCCTATGGCAATGTTCTCATTTTTATTGAAAGACTGCAGCCAATTTTGTGTTACTTGTTTTACTGATCTTAGAGGGATGGTAATGATGTTCGTTTGAAGGAGATAATAGTGACAGTATCCAAAACTGAGTGTCATGATTTGATGACCTGGTCACACATTTTTTTCTTTACTGTAGGAGTTCTGTTAGGACATCTTTCCACCTCACGGCACGACTTTTATTTACACGAGCGCAGTGCAAACATGACAAGAAGAATAACAATTGGCGAAACGTGTAAAAAAAAACACACACACACGAACTTTAGGTATTTGCTTTATGAATTAAAAAAAATGCTGTTAAACGAAATTAAGTTAATTGCAAAATAATTGCTGGCGGCTGCCGTGTGCGACTGCAGGAATAAAGCGTCGCGTGTGGATCATAGAAGACATGTCCCCCTTCGGCAAGCGACGCAAGACCACGACCACCAAGAAGACATTGCCAATGACCGTGGTGACATCGGCGACGAATACGGACAGCAACACGAACAACGGCAGCAACACCAGCAGCGGCACTGGCATCGGTGGCCACAAGTCTGAGCTGGGAGACGATGGTTACGTCCCCAGCGTGGAGTTCCTGGGCTCCGTGCCCATCAAGGCGGAGCCGGCGTCGACTCTGGGCGATGACTGGGGCAACAGTGCCGACAGCTTTGATACCAGCGCGGCCGTGACGCCGTCGTCGGCGGTGCCCGGCAGCAGCGGCGGGAGCGGCGAGTGCTCGCCCACGGCCGGAGCGTGCGTTGCTCCGCTGGCGTTCGAGGCGGTGCAGGCCGGATGCGTTCCAGCTAAAGCGATGGGCGGCGCCCCTCCGGCGGTGGTGGCGGTGGCGTCGGCCGCGTTGGGGGCGAATAGGAGCCCTGTGGCAGCTGACGGTGCGGCGGTGGACAAGACGGCGGTGGCCAACAGCGTCCTGTCGGGCTTCCTGCGCTTCGACCTGCGCGCCGACTGTGCGGACGTGGGCTGCCACTTTGCACGGCGTGCCACACACTACCACTGCGCGCGCGACGGCTGCGGCTACCGCTTCTGCGGGCGCACGCACATGCACAAGCACGCTATGCACCACGAGCGCGTCGACAGCCTGGTGCTCGACGACTTCCGCCGCTATAAGGCCGGTGCGCTCTGCCCGTATGCACGCTACATCCCTGTGTTGTCCGTACCCAGCCACGACTCTGCGCAGCAGCAGCAGCAGCAGCGTTGTGGGTTGGACAGCAGTGACGCAAGCGAAGGAGGTGGAGAAAGTAGCGGCAGCAAAAATACAGCTGGTCAGCAGTTGGTGAGCATGGATAGCAAGCTCTCGGATGCCTCTGGTGATGGCAAATCTGCGGTCGCAACGTACGCAGCTGGTGGAGAAAATGACGAGGAAGCGGGCGATCGGCCGAGCGGCACGGAGGCCACCGAGTCCGCACCGGGAAGTGAAGGAGCAGTTGCACCGGAGAAAGCGGAGACGGCGGTGCCACCCAGTCCATCCTCGTGCGGCGAAGATGACTCGATGACGACAACAAACTCTCTCGCGATGGACGGTGCCGCTGCTACCGCTGCGGAAAATGACGCGCAACCAGACCTGAAGAAGGCAGTGACCACACCGCCGGACAGACCGCCAGTGGACGAGGACGCGTCACGCGGCAGCGGCGGAAAACCGGCGAGCGCAAGGAGAGCGGCGGCGGCGATGGCACCGTTGGCCTCCAGGGGCGACACGGTGATAGTGGGCTGCCCGTTCGCGGGCCGCGCGACGCACTTCCACTGCCTGCGCTGCGCATTCGCCTGCGCCGACTCCACCAAGGTTCCCGCCCACCGCAAGCAGCACGCCAAGATGGCCGCCGTGCAAGCGGCAGGCTTCCGCCAGTTCGGTTCGGCCGTCGATTGCGCCCCCGCCGTCGCCGCCATCCTGAGTGCGGGCGCTGCTGCTGCTGCTGCTGCTACGGCAGCCGGCAGCAGCGGCGGAGCCGTCATCGGTGGTGAGGTGGCTGGGCCTTTGCCGACAAGCGCAGTGGTCACATTGGGGGCATCGAGCACTGCAATAGCGGGAGCGTCTGCTGCGTCGGTCCTGCCTTGTGCGGTGGCGCCTATTGCGCCGGGCGTGGTGGCAACCGCCGCTGAATGGAGTAATGCCGGGGTGGCGGCCATCGTGGATGCCACGGCAGCAGCTTCGGCTACTGCGGCGCCCACTGCAAACGCCGGGTTCCGGCAGTTCGGCTCGGCCGTGGACTGCGCGCCAGCCGTCGCCGCGATCCTGACAGCGGTGGCAGCAGCTGCGGCGGCCGCGACAGATCCAGCGGAAAGGATGGCAGCCACCCGGAGTGAGGAAGCGACGGCGAATGGAGGGGTGATGGCCGCCGCGGCCACCGCCACTGCCGCTACCAATCCAGGTCCCATCGATCCTGAGGAGGCGAGCGATGCTCTGGGCGGGAACATCTCGGAAAATCCACCCGCTCTGCCGAACCCGGAAGTCGATGGTGAAGATGCCCCACGTTCGGAGGTGGCGGAGGTGACGGAGGTGGCGGCGGTGAAGGACGACAGTGGGGGGACGGTTGCGCCAACGGGTGGTGATGCTGTCGCGGCCATCGCGATCGCGAGCCCCGACGCAGGGCAGCAGGCCGGGTGCGTGGCGAGCCAGATGGCCGGCGACAACGGTGGCATCGGCGGCGGAAATCCCAGCGCCATAACTAACGGTGAGGATCGTTCGTTTTATTTCCAAACTCTCTCTCCCTTTATAACATAATATTGTTTGTCAGTGTCAACTGTAAGTGCTGATCTCAGTGCTTCAGCCGCAAATGATGACATTTTAACCTCTGCTGCTGATGTCGTTGAAGGGCCGGGCACGGTGGTTGTCGTCGAGTGTCGCTACCGCTTACGCTGTTCGCACTTCCACTGCGCCGTCGCCGGCTGTGGCCACGCCGTCGTGGGCACCGCTCAGATGGAGTCCCACCGCCGGCGCCACCAGCGCAACAACAGCGGCGGCAGCGGCGGCAGCGGTGGCAGCGGCGGCAGCGGCAGCAACATCGTCCTCTCGTACCCGCACAACAACCAGAGCAACCCTCACCTCCTCGTGAGCACCAACCCAACTCGAATCCAGCAACAATCTCCGATGAAACCGCAACAATCTCCGATGAAACCGCAGCAGCAGCAGTTGTTGCAACAGCTGTCATTGCAGCAGCAGCAGCAGCAGGTAACACGATTGCCATCGCAAAATCAACAGCATCAGCAGCAACGTGGGCTGGAACTGGAGTGGCAGTGGAAGCAGCCGCATTTAACGCAGCAGTTTCAACCGCTGGTGGTACGGCCCCAGCTTTTGACGGTTCAGCAGGCCGAGTTGTTACGTCAGGTGCAGCAGCAGGGCCAACAGCTGCGTGGGCGACTACAGCAGCAGCAGCTGAGTGTTGTGCAGCAGCAGGAGGATGTGGTGGCGTTGAAAAAGCAGCAGCAACAGCAGCAGTTACACCAACCACTGTTGCAGCAGCAGCTGCTAAAGCAACAGTGCGAGATGATTCAGTTGCAGCAGCAGCGACAAACGCCGCAGCAGCAGAATCAGCGCGTACAACCACAACAGCAGCCGCGGCAGCCCCTACCGCACGAGCAGTTGCAACTGCAGCAGCAGCAGCAACCTCCGGAGCAGCAGCAGCAGCAGCAGCAACAGGAGGGGGAGCGTAACAAGGTGGCCGTGCGAGCGACTGCGGAAGATGACTCGTTGAGGGGCGGCAACGATGGCAACTCTTTCTCCTCGCCGTCCTCCTCCTCCTCGTCGTCGTCGCCGTCATCGGCGGCCTCGCCGCCTTCGTCGTCCTCCTCGTCGGTCGCTGTGGAGTCCGTCGTCGTCGCGCAGAGTGCGTCGTCGTCATAGCCCCCCTATCGAGTCGCCACCGCCGCCTCAGCAGCAGTCCAAATCCCCAAAAAACAAACCCCCCCCCACCACCCACCATCAACAAACCGATCGAAACGGCTTTATAGCCAACCAACACATGCAGGGAAAAGCTTACACACGCATGTTGTGTGTAATGGGTTATATGATACGTGTAACCCCCCCCCCACACACACACACACAAAAACACTCAGCGATGAAATCTGGAAAATAATACAACTTTTTTTTTGGGGGGGGGCTTTTATTTGGGGATCGATTACGACGTGAGAATATGCAATAGGTGTTTACTTGCAGGCGTGCCGTGGGCAAAACAATGCGCGCTCACACAGCTCACAACATTGCAACGATCGGCGTGACCTTTGCACCTTGCGGCGCGACCTTTGCACCTTGCGGCGCGACCTTTGCACCCTGCGGTGCTCCGTGGGTCGTGCACGGTGCGCACATCGCTAACAGGCTGGGGGGAGGGGGGCAATCGAGTTCGCGGAGTGAGCGTGCTTTGCCTCATTAAAAAAAACTTTTTGTAGGAAATGTATGCAAATTTATGCTAATTTATGCCAGCCGATGGTGCGGCGCGTGAGGAGGAGGGAGCTGCTCGTGGATGCAAACACTAAAGTGTGTTGATTTCATGGCGTGCCGGCCAATCGGAACGATCGCCGAGACTGGGCTGCACGATGTACGTATGCAAAACGATGCAGAGCTGGCCAACGGGAGGGCTCGGATTAATGTATGCAAACGTTACGATAATTTAAGCCGGCCAATGCGATTGCTCGCCCGCTGTTTTGAGCTGGATATAATGTATGCAAATGTATGCTAATTTATGTAATATGCAGACTTTATTGAATGTGGTTTCGCGTGATGCAATGGTGTTAAGACGGTTTCGAATATTTTAAGTTTTCAGTTTTTGGTTGGTTTGAGGTTATAATCAGGAAAGAGTGACTTTGTGCATTGTAACTGTTTTAGGTTTATTTAAAGAGAAAAAGACGGCACGCGACGGTTACCACACCCTGGCCCGGCCCAGGCATTAAGTGAGCCTTCACGTTGGTGTTTAACACAGGCAACGGGAGCTGAGCGTGCACCTGATCCACGTGCCCGTGGCTCGGTTATTACCTCACTGACGGGAGATTATTTCGTTTCATCGACGTCATGCATCAACCGGTGCCTCCGATCATCACAGTCGGATCGCTCATTCTGAGACAAAGCAAATTACACCTGAAGCACTCTTTAACGTTTCCAACCACGGCCCAACGTTGGCCCAACGTTGGCCCAACTTTGGCCCAACGTTGGCAACGTGTTTACTGGGAAATGCCGCGCGATTTTGCCACCAATGTTATTTTGCAACCAATCATATGGTGATCTAGCCAGGTGAAATGTTTGCAGAGTGCTCAAAGCACAGTCGGGAAAACATAAAGTTGCAGCTTCATATCCTGGCCAGGCTAAAGTCATCGTCCCTAAGGGGTCGATAAGAACTATTTTACAGGAAACCAACATCGGTCATCCTTACAGATGAACAAGGTCCCCAGCGTGGAAATGTGCCACATTTTCCACCACTGGTTCAGGACAACCGGCAGAGATGAGTGCCACAACAATTCTGAGTTCATCAGGCACACTTGGATGTGACCCGACTCTGAAAACAGGCTGCATCCTTGATATTAACTGTATTTTATCCGTACTTGAATTTACAACTCAACAAAGAGAAATGTCTATACATTCTCGCGTGATCTCAATGCGGTCCGTCAGCGCCGAGTATAAACCAATGGACTGCATGATGTGTGCCCGACCATGGCTGTCAGTTTTTGGCTTCGGGATTTTAAGCGTCATTTTCTAACGACGCGCAGAAAGGTGTGTACGAAGAGCACTCGGCCTTTGTGCGTTACGCAAACAAAAATCAACAGTTCCTGAAGAACTTTCTAAAGAGAAAACTAGACTGGTTCCATCATTCGTACTCATCAGAACGGCATAGTCTGTAACGATGGGGTTTCTCGCCATTTACAGATTCGATTCATTGGTAGTCCATGAGCCAAGGAAGATATTTGGCTTGTAGGTACCACCTTTGATGGTATATCTTTTTCAGTTCAAATTCCTTTGTGTGGCCAATAACAGTGCTTTTTTTTTAAATCATACCTATTGTAAAAGAGAGTGGATATCAAGTAATTCACTATTGGCCATGTATATAAATAATTACTACAAAAATGTGCGCTCCACCTGTTCCATCTGTTTGGGACAGTTGCCCCCCCGGATGCGTGCGTTTTCTCCGAGCGCTGCGGTTTCATCCCACGTGCACACACCCTTTAATTGGCTGCAAAACATCTTCATATGTAGATGACCGCAGAGCTTGGGCAATTGTTGGCACCAGGTCACCACCTGGCTGCTGCCCTCCCACTTGTCCCTGGTTTCCCCCTGTCCTGACGCCTCCGGGGGTTGCTCTCTCTCGCTTCGAGAGCGAGCGAGCGAATACCGTGAGCCGCATGAGTTGACATTACCATTTGTTCAAGTGTATGCTGCCTGAGGTGGTACACATTTTCTGCCTGTGGCCCCATGGGCCTCCAGTGCAAGCTGCATTTCCGGTGTGCCAAGCGCACAGCTCACATCGCCACGTGTTCAGGGGTGCGCATGGACACGCGCGCGCGCACACTTTGAGCTCGCCTTGTTCATGTGTGCGCGAGGAGGCGAGGTTAAATCAGGCCGTTCCCAAGTCTCCGTGAAGGCTCGTTTATAGGACACCACAGGGCTAAAGTGCACACTTTTATTTATTTGCGACCGATTTGTTCTGTCGGCAAAGGATCGATTCTCGTTGAAAGTGCAAATGCTTCCAAAATTTAACGAGTTAGTTGTTTTCAGTTAATATAAATAATTTCTAACTTATGCTTCCATACAGGTTTCACATGTGTTTGTTGTGTAGTATTTATAGATTTACATGGTTTTTTGTTATAAGTTATCTTTGAAATTATATATTATTGATTACAATAGCAATCGATGAGGAGGATGATGCTGATCATATTGTTATAATTATTATTATTGTCCGAAAGCACAAAAGCAAAAATAGCCTTCACACTGCTTCCCAGGCATGAGTGCCGCTGTGCATTGTGGGATGTTCATGCAATGTAATTGAGTCGCCTTGTGAAGAGCTGTCCTCTCTTTTATGGGCCATCGTCTGGTTTCAAAACTTCCATGGCTGTCCATCAATCGATACCAATGAGCAGCTTTATACAATAATTCCCCTGCATAGACCCCCATTCTTAGAACAGTTGTGTGTTGTTGGATATGTTGACTGTAATCGGCTATGCTTTGGCACAAAACAAGTGGTAAGATGGTGTTTTAGAATACTTTCGGTGATATCCATACCACCGTGCCCGGAGTGATGATAGTTATGGTGGTGGTAATGATGTGTCCGCTCCTTGATCGGATTTGAACTCCCAATCGTACAGTTTGGGAACTCGCCTGCTCTACCAACTTAAGCTATATATCTGGCACTGTTGTAACACGAATAATAATACCTGTAATAATTATCATTGTAATGTGTGGGGCGTTGTAGGAACGAGTGGTTCTGTCAGTTGTAGTTTCACTGGAAAATGCAGTCAGTTAAAACTGGAAAACTATAAGAGGACTACTGTCGGGAGAAGCTAACCTCACCATGTGCACGCAAGCTTGGGAGAAACTAACCCAGGGGATGTGTGTAACTTTTGACTGGAATAGGTTTATCCTTACGAGTGGGATTCACTGGAAATTGACAATTACGTGACTTTTATTCAGGTGGGGGGGGGGGGGGGGCATACAGGAAAACAGGGAAATTATGTGAATACAGGGAAATTACTGGGAAACTGATGCGGTTTGTTTTGCAAGCCCTGACGCAGCTCAGCTCATTCCACCCATGCTTTCAGACAGACCCGCTTTTGCAGAATGTCATAAAACGAATTTGTTGACTGGGTTGTGTTATACGATTGTACACAGTAAATTGATGGTTCGAGAGGTTGGCGTACACAACGTGTTCTTATTTGGAAGAAGCTGATTTAACTGGATAAATGAATGTCTCACTGAACCGTTCGAAATGGCTTGTGTCGTCGGTGACCGCGATTAATCAGTGGCTTCGGCACAAGATTCGTTTTAAGAGAGGGGAGTAATGCTGTTGTGTTGTCTCTTCGGATTCACAATGTTTCGATGGTTCAGGGAAACTGAACCAGCACCACTAGATCCTGGGTTAGGATCCCTGGCTCTCATGCAGCACTAAATCACGATCTCACATGTAGCAACATTGAGAGATAGACGTTTTACGGCACACATTTTAAATGCGCGATCTGACCGAACAAATCAATTATGAATTAAATCCACGTTTACCAGTTTTCACACTTTGTACATTAAGTTGGCATGTACTGTTTTAAAATTACAACAATCGCATCGTCATTATTTTGGTTAATAACTCCTGGTGTAGGAAAGGCAAAGACTATGGCTTTTCATCAAAAAATATAATACACCTACCGTGAGTACATTTTTTAAAAATTAAAATCCCTTGGGCCAAGCTGCTTACCAATTTATTGGCATTTCCACACCTTGCATCGAACACTCCAAACAGGTCCAGATGGTTGACAAAACAAGTAGATGATCGATGAATCCTGACGGCAGACAGCATTTCATCCCTTATGAACACGAGGGCCGAAGGATTAAGTAAAGAAAGGTCTGGCCTTGGGTTTGTTTGCGACCCAAAAAGGGCCTTGAAGATTGTGTTCAATCGTGACACTTTAACCACAGAGCATTCAGAAGCAAAGCAAACCATGACAAATTGACCGACGGATATTGAATTGAGACATACACTACTTATCTATTAACTTAATTTGTTGTTATTATTAACGATTTTGAAAGCACATGTGTTTGAGATTTAAGTTATACGCTTGTTGTTGATGTTAATTTAAGTTAATTGAATGTAATTTAAGTTCATTGGCGTGGAGTGTGCTGTGAGTTTTAATGTACTATCGAACTGTCATATACATTTTGGTGGAATGGGACAATTATTGACCTGTTCTCTTCCCACCTCTCTGTCTCTCTATCTCCCTTTGGCCCCCCTGGTCCACCTTTCTCTACGTCTCACCTTGTCTGTCTCTCTCTCTCTCATTCACTGGCCATCATTTGCTCCTCTCTTCTGTCTCTCTCCCTCCCTCTGTCTTCCTTTTTCTGTCTCTCCCTCTCATGTACTGGCTTTCTTGTAGTTGTTAGGAATTTCACTAAAAATGGCTTTTCAAATAAACCTTTTTTAAACACTTTAACTTGTATATGCGTGTGCGCGTATATTTAATGTTATTCTTGTCTCCATATATATAAAGTGTGTCGGTGGAGAGAAGTGGAGCATTAAATTTCGATTTAAAGCTTTCGTGACTGCAATGATTCATCTTCTTTGGTTCTTTCGGTAAATTCACGTAGAATGAGAATAAAATAATACATTGATAAAATAAAATAACACAATAATATTCTCACGACGTTTCGGCCACAACAAGCGGCCTTCATCAGGTGAAGGGACGAGACTGTCTGGTAGGACAGCGCTGGAGTGTTACGTACGGTCCACTCCAGCGCTGTCCTACCAGACAGTCTCGTCCCTTCATCTGATGAAGGCCGCTTGTGTTGTGGCCGAAACGTCGTGAGAATATTATTGTGTTATTTTATCAATTTATTATTTTATTCTCATTCTACGTGACTTTACCGAAAGAACCAAAGAAGAAGAAGTGGAGCAGTGAGATTTTTTGTGCGCGTGCTCCTATCATCGTGGGCGACCTGGGTTCAATCTCCCCTTGCCATGCGAGTTGTAGGCAACTGGCACATGTGAACCTGGTATGGGACTGCCCTGGGTTAGTCTAGTCTTGACGGATTACTATATGTACGTTTAACTTCTTTCGCACCGTACATAATGTGGTGTGTGTACAGGTGTGCGTAGGGAGTGGTAGCGTAGCAGTTAGCATACTGCCCTATGAACATGGCGACCCGAGTTTGATTTCCGCTCACGGCCAACACCAGTGATTATCTGAACCCGTCCTGGGCCTCCCCTAGGTCGACTCAGCCTCAAAATTATTACCTAGCACGGTGTGTAAACATTGTCACTGGGATGACAAAGGCGGCCGGGCGTGGTGCTGGCCACCCACCCCCTCGTGTGCTGTGCCGGCCTTCATAGGTGCTCGCTAACAGTACTTTCCCCAACAGTCTGTTAAGGCTATATGGGGGATCTTTAGCTTTTATCGTTGTGCCGATCAGTCATACATGTGCTGCGGCTGCCTGAATGGATGGTATTTAAGAGTATTATAGAATGTAGTGCAAGGCCATAATATAATATATACATCCCCCCCAATATTCAAATATGCTCAAAATGTCCCCCCCAATATATTGCTATAAAAATTTAAAAAAAGTAATAATAATTGCTATGCTATGTAAATGAAAACAATTTGCTAAACCTTGGCCACAATATCTGGACTTGTCTTTATATAAATCAATGTATAGATTGCTGTTTATATGATTGTGATTATGGTTGTACTTTATTAATCCCTAATCTCAAACATTACATACAATGAAACAAGAAATGGTAAAAAAGTAAAAACAGCAATGTAATACAATGCACTATTAGACATTGTAAAAAAGAAATAAAAAGTCCATCCTATGTGTTAGTGAATGTTTTAATATTTTAGGCAGGAAATGGCAGGAAATTAGTTTTCAAATTTAATTTTTTTCTGGGTTGGGACCCCCAGAACCCCCGGAAGATTTGGTCCTCCCAATGTTGACTCCATGGCTACGGCCTTGATGTCGTGACATTAATAGGGGGTCGTCTTGTAGAATTCTCAGGTGAGTGCTTGAGACTACAGAGAAACGGATATGCTCTCGAGATCATAGTTTGAACACCAAATGCGGTGTGGGGAGAGAACGTCCATGTCAACAACCCGTTTTATTCAAATACAGGCTTTGATAACAGAGCTGAGAAAACGTCTGTAGAGCAGCTTGTTAGCGAAGGTTCCCAGGGAAGGGAGAGTAGTTTATGGTTCTCTAGATTATGGTTAGGGGTCGTCCATAAATGACGTCACGCGATCTTTTACCCCCCCCCTCGTCACATGGCGTCACAAAAAGTCAGACAATCCCCCCTCAAATATGACGTCACAAATGTCTGACCCCCCCCCCCCAGGTGCGTGACGTCATTTATGGACGGCCCCTTATCACGGCGTCTGGTGGCTTCGCAGCCGACCTTGAGCTGCAACGAATAGATTAACGAACGTAGTAACGGAGAGAGTGCCTTGAAAGTGGGGAGGACGGTTGAGACAGCAAACAAGAGACAACATTTCCTGTAACCACAATACAATATGAGACCTTTTCCAGAAACAAGATATAGTAATAGGTTTTACCCTTTTAGCTGGCACAAAAACTGACACCTTTATACAAGGGATCATGTTTGCAATAACCACAACACAAGCAGTCAAAAATACTCTGAAAGTGCGCTGTTTTTGAGTTGTACGCCTTATGGTGTCATCTGGTCCAACACCAGTGGAGACTAGGCTCTAAGAAAAGCCGTCTCGGGTGTGGACCAATCAAATTCAAGGACAGTGCCAATATCATTATCAGAGCTGTCTCTTTTTGTTTGCATTTTTGACTGCTTGTGTTGTGGTCATTGTAAACATGATCCCTTGTATAACGGTGTCAGTTTTGGCGCCAGCTAAAAGGGTAAAACCTCTTACCACAAAATACAAGTTTGAGTAAGAGAAGATTAATACAGGTAGAGGAAGATGTTAAACTGGAGACTGAACGCAACTCCTGCGATACTCAGAGAATGAGAAGAAAAACCAAGATAATCCATAACATAGGGGTTTTTTTTGTTAAATCGTGTAAAATATAGAAATGTGTCGTTAAACCCACCACCATCCGCGATCTAACCCAAAAAAACCTTTCTTATCAAACAATGTTTATTGTCCCGGATTTGGACCGTCTTGAACGTGTCCCCAACTGGAAGTAAATCTTGGCCTTCATGGTATGAAAAGTGTGAGAATAACTTTTGCACCATGATGGTTAATGTGTACAATATCAAAGAAACGGGAGCCCTTGTTAAAGCATCAATTGGGGGGGAACTGTTCACTAAATATATATACAGCTTGCATAAAGTACAGTAGAAAAGTTTAAGAGCATAAACAAATTAACGGACTTATCCCTGTGCATTTCTGTTATTGCATGAGCACTCAACGCTTTCGTCAATAACACTGTGGCCTAAGAAGTAAAAATATGTAATAAAACATAATCGGCGACGTTTCGGGCAATGTCCCTGCTAAGGAAGAGTTTTTTTTTGTCAACTGTGTCGTTATTATGCACCACTGCCAACGAACGCAGCAGCATCGCCGAATTTAATATTGCCTACAGTACCATCAGCAGCCACGAGATGTCAGGTATTTACCATCGACTCCTCGGGTATGGATGTTGAACTTCGTTTGCACCGCACCGAGCCAATCATGATAATCGGATGTACGTAATTTCTTTATTTGAAGCTTTCGTGATTGCAGGAATCCATATTCTCTTTGTTTTTTTCGGTAAAGTCACGTAGGTAGAAAATAAATCACGACGTTTCGGGCGCAGCACAAGCGTCCGTCACCTGATGACCTGATGACGGACGCTTGTGTTGCGCCCGAAACGTCGTGACTTATTTTATTTTATACCTACCACGTGACTTTACCGAAAGAACCAAAGAGTATGCACGTGATACTGTAAGTGTGAAGTCTGACACGTATTAATCATAGTCTCATCGGGTACGTAATAGTGTGGAACGGACGTCTTCAGAGTAGAGATAGGTTGACTGATTTGTATAATTAGCAACAAAATCGCTCAACACATTCATCAACAACAGTGGCATTAAAAGTAAAAAAATATATTTAATAGGCGACGTTTCGCGCAATGGCCCTTCTTAGCATACGACTGACTTGTAGTTGGAGATCACCTTGTAGGGATCTAAAACCGTAGGGTATTGCAACAAGTTTACATACGTAACATCTGTAAACTGATATTCGCTTAGACAGCCGTTGTAAACGAAAAGGAATTGGCTCTGTCAAGTTACGTACGCTGTGATCAATAATTGATCGCCGTGTGAGTAAAATATGTGCCGTACAATCTCATCCACCCGACGCACCCAATTCATAAAACTGCCTCGTTAACAAACGCTGCCAAATGTATTACCGCTTCAGCAGTTGCCAGAATCGTTGCGCAATTATCGTTTCACAATTCTTTGCCAACCGCCTGACGATGCTGGTTGTAACTGCCAACGAAACGTCCCCTACCGGCTTGTTAAATGTGTGTGGATTGCTCTCCCGACACACCCGATAGGTGGTCTGCTTCTCCTTCTTATTCTTCTTCTTTAGTACGACTGCTGGTGTAGATGCAGAGCAACAACCACAACTTCACATTCAGGTGGTCCGGGCAGATAACCGCATCAGGAGTAGTGGAGGGTTTCGCTGTGATGTCTCCTTCGTATTATTTGTGGATCGGGGCACTGCGTCGTTATATGTCGTACGATCCGTTCTGGATGACCACAGTCGCACATTGGAGCGTTTTTTTTTAATTTGCGTTTGTGCATCAGGCGTCCGCATCTGCCACGGTTTGTGCAGTGGATGCGGGTTAGGGTGGACCATGAGCTTAGTGGAAGATCAAGCCCAGGGATCTTCTGCGTTTGGCTGTTTTAGAAGGTGTTTGTGTGTGAGTTATTTTGAACTCCAGCTCTTCAAGCTTCATCGGGGCTGAACTGCTTGCATTAGGTGGTCTGTTGAATGAGTAATACAGTGTCGGGTGGAGGAGGGTTTACGACACACAATTGTAGTCACGCGGTGATCTCACCCAAACTATGAATGATGAATCGCATTGCTACTCGTCGCTCTCATTGACTGAGCGAATGATGGGGGCGGTTACGTTTACTCGGCCAGCGCTGCTCTGTGTTCTCTCACTCGTAAGCGCTTTGTAGATTTTTATTTATTTATTTTAAACTTTAGTTAAAAAAATGATGCGTCCAGGACAAAGAGCGTTTCACGGGGTCGCGCTAAGCGAGGTTTGCCTGTGCAGGAGCGGGTGGGGGGGAGGGGAGACGGGGGTTGGGGGAGTGGGGAGGGGGTTTGGGCGGCTGGAGGAGGTTTGGGGGGAGCGGGGGGGTTTGGGGGCAGCGGGGGGGTTGGGGGGGGCAGGGGGGGGTTGGGGGGGCAGGGGGGGTTGGGAGGAGCGGGGGGGGAGGAGCGGGGGAGAGAGCGTGGGGGGTTGGGGGGAGCGGGGTGGAGTTTGGGAGGAGCGGGGGCGTGGTTTTGGGGGGAGCGAGGTGGGGTGGGGGAGCGGGGGCGTGGTTTGGGGGGAGCGAGGCGGGGTGGGGAAGCGGTGGGGGGGGAAGCGGTGGAGGGGGGGGAAGCGGTGGAGGGGGGGGGGGAAAGCGGTGGAGGGGGGGGGGAAAGCGGTGGAGGGGGGGGGGAAAGCGGTGGAGGGGGGGGGGGAAGCGGTGGAGGGGGGGGGAAGCGGTGGAGGGGGGGGGGAAGCGGTGGAGGGGGGGGGGAAGCGGTGGAGGGGGGGGGGAAGCGGTGGAGGGGGGGGGGCTCCTTGTCACGTGTCCCGGTGGCGTCACTCCGCGCACGCGCACTGTGGCCAGGCCGGGCGGCGTGGTTGCTCCCTTTACTGGCCCTGGTCTCCCTCCTCGCGTCTCCCTCCCAGCCTCCCGAGATGCCGAAGAAGAAGCCGGGCAAAGCGAAGGGCGAGGAGGACTGGGTGGAAGAGGAGGCCCCGGCGACAGAGGGTACGGAGGCCGTGGCGGGAGAGGGATTTTCAAAGTGCACCTCGCCTGGCACCAGCATCGTGGTCGCGTCTCCGCCACTTTGAGTGGCGGATGGCGGCTGTTGGTTGTGAGTGTCTGAGTGTGTCTGAGTGTGAGTGTGTGTGTCTGAGATTGTCTGTAAGTGTGTGCTTGTCATGGTGTGGATGTGCGTGGCCTTAAAGTGTACCTCGGCCGGCACCAGCCATTGGTGCCTAGACCACGGCGTGTGGGTTTGTCAGGTCTTGTGTGTCGGGAGGCGTCAAACAGTGGTGGTGGTGGTGCGAAGGTTGTGCGGCTTCGCTTCGTGTGGTTATCGAGTGATGTTAGGTTGTCCAATGGCGCGTGGGGGTTGGCGTCATTTGGCAAGGTGTGGAGTGGTCCGTGGGCTCAGTCTGTGTGGTCGAACGTCCCGTTAACGCCGCTGTGTTAGTCAATGCGTGTGGGCCGGTATGGTTTTCTGTGTCACATCGGTGTGGCGTGGGGTTGGTGTTGTTACCCCCCCCCCCCCCCCTTAGTTTTGTTTCACCAGGATAAGAACCCCCTCCAGAGGGCCCAGGGTGATTCGTATTTTCGAGAGCGAGTCAGGGCCACAGAATCGTGAGTTTAACAGTAGGGGGTGGAGGGCGGTGATTGCTATGCGTGGAATCCCAATTTTGAGTAATTTGAGGGTAAATGTTGGGACCCTGTCAATTAGTGTGGGGTTGTTAATTAGTGTGGTGTCAATTAGTGTGGTGTCAATTAGTGTGGTGTTGTCAATTAGTGTGGTGTTGTCAGTCAGTGTGGGGTTGTTAATTAGTGTGGGGTTGTCAGTTAGTGTGGTGTTGTCAATTAGTGTGGTGTTGTCAATTAGTGTGGTGTTGTCAATTAGTGTGGTGTTGTCAGTTAGTGTGGTGTTGTCAATTAGTGTGGTGTTGTCAGTTAGTGTGGTGTTGTCAGTTAGTGTGGTGTTGTCAATTAGTGTGGTGTTGTCAATTAGTGTGGGGTTGTCAATTAGTGTGGTGTTGTCAGTGTGGGGTTGTCAATTAGTGTGGTGTTGTCAGTTAGTGTGGGGTTGTCAGTTAGTGTGGTGTTGTCAATTAGTGTGGTGTTGTCAATTAGTGTGGGGTTGTCAGTTAGTGTGGTGTTGTCAGTTAGTGTGGAGTTGTCAATTAGTGTGGTGTTGTCAATTAGTGTGGTGTTGTCAGTGTGGGGTTGTCAGTTAGTGTGGTGTTGTCAATTAGTGTGGTGTTGTCAGTTAGTGTGGTGTTGTCAGTTAGTGTGGGGTTGTCAGTGTGGGGTTGTCAGTTAGTGTGGTGTTGTCAATTAGTGTGGTGTTGTCAATTAGTGTGGTGTTGTCAGTTAGTGTGGGGTTGTCCATTAGTGTGGGGTTGTCAGTTAGTGTGGTGTTGTCAATTAGTGTGGGGTTGTCAATTAGTGTGGTGTTGTCAATTAGTGTGGGGTTGTCAGTTAGTGTGGGGTTGTCAGTTAGTGTGGGGTTGTCAGTTAGTGTGGGGTTGTCAGTTAGTGTGGTGTTGTCAGTTAGTGTGGGGTTGTCAGTTAGTGTGGGGTTGTCAGTGTGGTGTTGTCAGTTAGTGTGGTGTTGTCAAATAGTGTGGGGTTGTCAATTAGTGTGGGGTTGTCAATTAGTGTGGTGTTGTCAATTAGTGTGGTGTTGTCAGTTAGTGTGGTGTTGTCAATTAGTGTGGTGTTGTCAGTTAGTGTGGTGTTGTCAGTTAGTGTGGTGTTGTCAGTTAGTGTGGTGTTGTCAGTTAGTGTGGGGTTGTCAGTTAGTGTGGGGTTGTCAATTAGTGTGGGGTTGTCAGTTAGTGTGGGGTTGTTAATTAGTGTGGGGTTGTCAATTAGTGTGGTGTTGTCAGTTAGTGTGGTGTTGTCAGTTAATGTGGTGTTGTCAATTAGTATGGTGTTGTCAGTTAGTGTGGGGTTGTCAGTTAGTGTGGTGTTGTCAGTTAGTGTGGGGTTGTCAGTTAGTGTGGTGTTGTCAGTTAGTGTGGGGTTATCAATTAGTGTGGGATTGTCAATTAGTGTGGGGTTGTCAGTTAGTGTGGTGTTGTCAATTAGTGTGGTGTTGTCAATTAGTGTGGTGTTGTCAATTAGTGTGGTGTTGTCAGTTAGTGTGGGGTTGTTAATTAGTGTGGGGTTGTCAATTAGTGTGGGGTTGTCAATTAGTGTGGTGTTGTCAGTTAGTGTGGTGTTGTCAATTAGTGTGGTGTTGTCAGTTAGTGTGGGGTTGTCAGTGTGGGGTTGTCAGTTAGTGTGGTGTTGTCAGTTAGTGTGGTGTTGTTAATTAGTGTGGGGTTGTCAGTTAGTGTGGTGTTGTCAGTTAGTGTGGGGATGTTAATTAGTGTGGGGTTGTCAGTTAGTGTGGTGTTGTCAATTAGTGTGGTGTTGTCAGTTAGTGTGGTGTTGTCAGTTAGTGTGGTGTTGTCAATTAGTGTGGGGTTGTCAGTTAGTGTGGTGTTGTCAATTAGTGTGGTGTTGTCAGTGTGGGGTTGTCAATTAGTGTGGGGTTGTCAATTAGTGTGGGGTTGTCAATTAGTGTGGTGTTGTCAGTTAGTGTGGGGTTGTCAATTAGTGTGGTGTTGTCAATTAGTGTGGGGTTGTCAGTTAGTGTGGTGTTGTCAGTTAGTGTGGGGTTGTCAATTAGTGTGGTGTTGTCAATTAGTGTGGTGTTGTCAATTAGTGTGGTGTTGTCAATTAGTGTGGTGTTGTCAGTTAGTGTGGTGTTGTCAATTAGTGTGGTGTTGTCAGTTAGTGTGGGGTTGTCAATCAGTGTGGTGTTGTCAATTAGTGTGGGGTTGTCAGTTAGTGTGGTGTTGTCAGTTAGTGTGGTGTTGTCAGTTAGTGTGGTGTTGTCAGTTAGTGTGGTGTTGTCAGTTAGTGTGGTGTTGTCAATTAGTGTGGGGTTGTCAGTTAGTGTGGTGTTGTCAGTTAGTGTGGTGTTGTCAGTTAGTGTGGTGTTGTCAGTTAGTGTGGTGTTGTCAATTAGTGTGGTGTTGTCAGTTAGTGTGGTGTTGTCAGTTAGTGTGGTGTTGTCAGTTAGTGTGGTGTTGTCAATTAGTGTGGGGTTGTCAGTTAGTGTGGTGTTGTCAGTTAGTGTGGTGTTGCCAGTTAGTGTGGGGTTGTCAGTTAGTGTGGGGTTGTCAGTTAGTGTGGTGTTGTCAGTTAGTGTGGTGTTGTCAGTTAGTGTGGTGTTGTCAATTAGTGTGGTGTTGTCAGTTAGTGTGGTGTTGTCAATTAGTGTGGGGTTGTCAGTTAGTGTGGTGTTGTCAGTTAGTGTGGTGTTGCCAGTTAGTGTGGGGTTGTCAGTTAGTGTGGGGTTGTCAGTTAGTGTGGTGTTGTCAGTTAGTGTGGTGTTGTCAGTTAGTGTGGGGTTGTCAGTTAGTGTGGGGTTGTCAGTTAGTGTGGTGTTGTCAGTTAGTGTGGGCTTGTCAGTTAGTGTGGGGTTGTCAGTTAGTGTGGTGTTGTCAGTTAGTGTGGTGTTGTCAGTTAGTGTGGGGTTGTCAGTTAGTGTGGTGTTGTTAATTAGTGTGGTGTTGTCAGTTAGTGTGGTGTTGTCAGTTAGTGTGGTGTTGTCAGTTAGTGTGGTGTTGTCAATTAGTGTGGGGTTGTCAGTTAGTGTGGTGTTGTCAATTAGTGTGGTGTTGTCAATTAGTGTGGGGTTGTCAATTAGTGTGGTGTTGTCAGTTAGTGTGGTGTTGTCAGTTAGTGTGGTGTTGTCAGTTAGTTTGGGGTTGTCAATTAGTGTGGGGTTGTCAGTTAGTGTGGTGTTGTCAATTAGTGTGGTGTTGTTAATTAGTGTGGTGTTGTCAATTAGTGTGGTGTTGTCAGTTAGTGTGGGGTTGTCAGTTAGTGTGGTGTTGTCAATTAGTGTGGGGTTGTCAGTTAGTGTGGGGTTGTCAATTAGTGTGGGGTTCAGACAGTGTGGGGTTGTCAATTAGTGTGGGGTTCAGACAGTGTGGGGTTGTGTCAATGTGCTGTTGAGTGGTGTGCCAATTACCGTAGTGCGGTGTCCGTTAGTGTGGCATTGAGTAATGCTGACTCGTGTGGCGTGTGCCATCGTTGTGGGATAGTTTTGGGAGTCCATTAGTTCTGGGAGTGGTCCGCAAGTGTTGTGGTGTGTGCTGTGTTTTGTGGGGAAACTGGTGGCGTTATTTCGCGCATGTGTAGTGGATTCCAGGACACGGAGACGGCAGAATAGAAGCAGCACTATTTATTTAAACCTTAACAAGGGTTACACTAGAAGGGGTAGCGGCCCCTCCACCCGTATAACTCAGGAACACACCCCAGGCTCTCTGGCCTAAGCTCTAGGCTCCCAGTTCCTCCTGGTAGGGCTCTAAGGGAGGCTATCAGATCCGGCCCTGGTTAGGCACAGATCTCGGCACCCCGCCGACCAGACCGGCCCTTAGAAGGACTCTGACTCTGGGGCTCTGGGGCCGCACCACTGGCTTGCTGTGCCGGCCCTGAAAAGGGCAGCGGTCACAGGAGTTCCAGGGTCTCACCTAGCTGGCCTTCTTTCTTCACTGGTTGCTTCAGCCTCGGGCCCCACACTCTGCCCCGAGCTCCCTGGCTCCCCGCACTTTATACCCACTGGAGCCTTAGCGGACGTTGTTGTAGCCACCAAGGTGTGGGTGAACCACACCTTCCCGTGTCATGTGTTTATTCCCCATAGCACCCCTACATCACCCCCTCCCGTGTAACCCGCAGCCGTCCCGGCTGCAACAATACTCGAACAATAAACACAACAAACCCCCACCCGTGCGTGCCTCATAAGAACGAACACCCCAATAAATAACCCAACCCACCTATACAAAATTACACTATATACACATATACATTGTACCCGCCCCCCCCATCAACGCAGCAAGAAAACTTAACAGTGAACAACAAGAGTAACAAGAACCATTTTTACAACAAGCGGCGCATTTTGGCGCGAGTCCGATTTGCGGGTCCATCGTAGGGGGAGGGTCCGGTCGGCCCGGCAG